TTAACCAGAATAAATTAATTATAATTAGAAAATAAATTAACTGGATAACCAGAAAAGATATATTTTTTTAATATAATTATATATTTTCAGAATAACTCAGGTATAATAAATAATTATTCTAGTCTTATTCTTATAGCTATTAAATCTTATAATAAATTTAAAATATCTTAGAAAATATAATAGTAACTACTGGGCCTTAATCTAGTTTTTATTTATAATATAGAATATAGTATAACTGGTATTAAATATAATATAAATAAAGATTTATTTCTTTTTAAAGTTTAGTATAATAAAAGTTATTATTAAATTAGTTCTTTGGAATTTCTCTTTAATTAAAAGTTTTTTAATAATAGTTTTAAATAAAGTATAGACTTGTGCTGGAAGTATAATCTAATAATAATTTAAATTAAATAAATTTTTTTTTAATTATTTACTCAGGTTTAAAAAGTATAGATATTCTAGATATAATATTCTAATAAATTAGAATACTGGGAGAGTTGGGAAGCAGGCTGAGACTAAAACTATAAATAAAAAATAATAATAAAATAATAAATATATTTTTAATAATAAGATTAAATATATAGAGTAGCTGGTATACTAGATACAGATATTAGATTTAAAATAATCTTAGATTAGATACTAGCTAAAATTATAATAAAAATACTTTTTTCTCTTTCTTCAGATAGACCTGGACTGGGATAATATATAATAAAAAATAGAAAAATTTATAGAATTATAATCTAGAATAAAGAATTTCTTGCTAGTAAAGTCTGTAGAAAACTTTTATAAGATTTTTTTTAAAAAAAAATAAGATTAATTGATCTAGTAGACAGCTTCTAGAATTTATTATAAGAATCTAGAGTATATTATAGTTTTTTATTATCCAGGAACTGGAGAAAATAAACTAGAATATAGTAATCTTTTTCAGATAAAATATTATTTAAAAGTATAATCTTTAACTCATAATTAATATCTTTTTCTAATATTAAAAATAGTATATCTAGATATATTTTAACTTCTTAAGCTAGATACTGGAATTTAATAAAATAAATATTAAATTTCTAATTATCTTTTTTCAGGCGGTACAGTTCTAGTTAAATATTATAAATATAATTAAGATTTTTAAAAGCATATTATAAGAATTCTAGAATCTTTGTATAATCTATCAGAATATAGATTTTATTTTTAATATAAGACTAGATCTGGTTATATAATATTCTTTCTAGATAGCTTATAATATAGAATATATAAGTTTATAAAATTAGATAATAATTATAATTAATAAATATTTTTCTTTGGATCTGGAAGATAAATTAAATAAGATTAATATAATTATTTTTAAACTTATCAGAATCAGGGATATGCTTGAAGAAAAAAACAGAAATAAAAAAATTAAAATTAATTAATAAAGCTGCTTCTACTAGAATAATTATTATATTTTTAATAATAAACTTAAATATCTGATCAGGAATATTAACTGTAAGTATAATAATTTAGATAATCTTAGTATATTTTTTTAATATCTGATTTTTTTTCTTGATAGTAATCTTTTTGATAGTAAGTATTTTAATAAACTGATAGTTAATATCTGCAGTCTACTGGACTTAGTAGATTATTATAGTATTTTTTATAGTAAGATTCTATTAGAGTTAGAAATGACTATTATCTATCTTTATTATAAAGACTAAGATTCAGTTATAATAATTATATTATTCTTTAGGATTCTCTGTAATATATTATACAAATTTCTTAAGCTTATTAAGATTAATTAAAGATTACAGAATAACAGGTATTTAGTTGATTATTTATTCTAAAAAGAAGTTATATAGTATTAAGATACAGGCTGGTGGGGTAGTAAAAAAATAGCTTAAATAAAAAATAAGAACAGGCGGGAGACTGGCTGGCTAATTATAATTAGATTATATAGAAAGATAGATAAGATATAGCTTAAAGCTATAAACAGGATCTGGAAGACTGGTGAGTTTTGTGTCTCTTCAGGTTATGTGCCCGGGCGGTTAGTCCGGGCCGTACTCCACGGCTAGCACCGTGACATCTAGTCTTATATATAAGTCTAGTTAAAAATAATTACCTGTCACCAGTCATAAAAAATAAAAGTCTTTTTTAGAAAAGCTGGATATAAAATAATTTTCTAATAATTTATAATATACTTGATATCAAGATTTAGAAAAAAAAAGATAATATAAGCTAAAAAACTACTTTCTATCCAGATATTATTATAATTTATAAAGATCTATAAAATAAAAAAAAGGAACTAATAGTATTTTTTAAGAATAAATTTAATAATTATAATTAACTTATAATAAGTTATCTATTTATACAAGTAATTAAAAAAAGTAAAAAATAAGAAAAACTTAATTAATATAATATTATTCTACTTCTAATACATATTAATATAAATGTAATCTATTATATTTATATATATTAAAAAATATCTAATAATAGCAAGTTTTTATTAAAAATATTTTTTAATCTTATCTACAGGTGAGTTTGCAGCATCTAATAATTATTATATAAAATATTTTTAATATAATAAATAATTAGGTATTATCAAGTAATATAAAAAAGAGTTCTATAAAGATATTTTATATTTATTATAATAATATTATTAATAGAGTCTATAAAAGTCTTTTACAGACCTTAGTAGAATACTGTCTGAGTCTTTATATTTATAATTTATAAAAAATACAGATTTCTAAATAAATTAAGTAAGCAAAGTTATATAGAATATTATAATTAAATAATACAAATAATTTATAGTTTTTAAATTTATTATAAATACTTAGACAGTATTTTAAGTATATAAAAAATAATAAGTCTATTTATTATTATATAAAATAATTTTCAGAGAGATTTACCAGCTTAAAAAAATAATTTAGAGAATATTAATAATCTACCAGCAGTATATAACTAAAATAAAACTGTAAATATATATATTCGTTATTATTTTATATTATAAGAGTAGTTTTTTTTTTAAAAAACCTAATTTCTGTCACTATCTGAGATAATATCAGATTAAATAACTAAAAATAAGATAAAATATACTATTTTCTTTTTTTAGCTTTTTTTAGAATTAAGAAAATTAGTCTTGTATTAATTATTAATAAAAATATAAATAATTAAGATAAATAATTATTAATCTAAATATATTTTACCCGTGCTAAGATTTAAAAAAGAGGTAGATCTTAGTACCAAGAATAATTAAAATAGTTAATTATCCTACTTTTAGCTGTTCCGCGGTTAGGTATAAGATTTTCTTATATCTAATTATTAACCTAACAGCAGGTATAAATTTTTCCATTAACCTACCCTACCCTGGCCGTTAACCACTCTAGTCTATCTCTAAAAAAAAATTCTCTGGATAAGATCATCTCTAGATACTACTAATTCTCTTTTAAATCAGAAAAAGATAAGAAAGAGATTAAATTTAAAAATATTCTTTATTTTATTTTAAACTTTAATCTTTAAAAGCATCAAGAATAAATTACTGATTTAAAATATATATTTTAAAGAGCTTCCAAGAAATATTTATCAGAAAAATATAAGATTTTTATTATTATTAATTATATAAACCCTGTGTGCAGGCAGAGATAATATTATTTTATTAATAATAAGAATCTAAAAATAAGATAATTTCTTTAGAAATTATAATCTTAATTTAAGAATTAGATTCTTATCTTAATTCAGAATATTATTATTCTTTAATTAAATATTATAGCTTAATCTAAACAGGCTTACTAGTAATATAATTAAAGTTTAAGAAAATTTCATGTTTATCTTAATATTTTAAAATAATATTTTTCTTATTAGATAAAAAGAGAAAAAATCTTATTATACTTTATTAAGCTATTATCTAATCTTAATTATTATATTTGAGAATATATTTTCTATTTACTAGAAGAATAGGATGAAATAATAACTATTATTATTTATTATTATAAATTATAAAATAATAGATAAAAATATAAATAAAATAATAATTAATTTAATAATTATAAACTATATAAATACCTCTAAGATTATTCTAATAAATTAATTAAAGAAGATATATCAAACCATAAGAAAAATTCTTTTAAAAAAATAATAATTAATTATAATATTTTATATATAATAGGATTCAGTATCTTATAAATTAATATTCTATTAAAAATAAAAAGATTTAATTTATTAAAACTTACTGATATTCATCAGATTCTGAGAGAAAAATAGAGAAGTTAAAATAAATTCTATAATTTTAATTTTTTTATTTATAATAGAAACTATTTATTATTTTTATATTCTTATTTATATTTAAAACAGTGTTAAAATCTTTACAGATTTAAATAATTATACTGAAGTAGATATTATTAGCTATTAATTTATTAAAATTTATAATCTTTAATATACCCCAGTTACTATATTCAAAATTAAAATTATTAATTAAATTATTATTTTTATCTATAATATATAAAAAGTTTTTATTACTACTATTGATTCGCAGGGAAGTATTTATATTTTTAAATAATATTATATAAAAATTAACTAAGATTCTTATTCAGAGAGTAGTCTAATTCTATTATTAATAATTATATTTCAAGATCTTTATATTAATCTATCAGCATGGAATTAATAATAGTAATTTATTATATTTTTTTTCTTTTTATTATCTAATTTAATAAAGTAATTTAAAATTTAATAAAAGTATATATTATTATCAAGCTCCCTGAAGATATTTAATTATTAAAAAAATCTTTTAATTTATTTTTAAATCTAGAGATAATTCTAATTAAGTTTTAAGAATTTTAAGATTTATTTTTTATAAATTTTTTTAATAACTTTTTTCTCATAGCCATGTGGACTATGTTATTAATATTAAATTTAATAAAATATTCTTTTATAATTCTATATATTTTCTATTAAAAACTGAACTTAAGATTTTATAAGAATATATTAAAAAAAACCTAAAATTAAATTAAATTTAATCTTTAAAAAGTTCTGCAGGGGCCTCTATTTTTTTTATATTTAAAAAAAATAATAATTTATATTTTTATATAAATTATAGAAGTCTTAACAAGATTTTTATTAAAAATTATTATTCTTTATCTCTTATTTCAGAGATTCTTGATAGAGTCTCAGGCAGTAAATATTTCTTAAAAATTAATATTAAAAATATTTATTACTGACAGGGCCTGCAGGCTTTTCTTCCTGACAAACTTCCGATCATAATGATCTTTTCTATTGAAAAAAATACCGAACTCAATATAATCTGAGAATCTCCATCCAGGAACCATACGTAGGTCATTGTATATTATATATACAGACTCTACAGAGCTGCTTTTACAAGACTGCAGAGGCGGTATGCAAAGTCATATGACTATTGCTAGGACAATCTAGAAGGCTGCTTGAAATGGAGTTAGGACAAACATGGCGGAATTGACTGGCAGAACATTATTATATACTCTAAACTAGCACCCAAGTTCTTGTCGGCCTTCAAATTATTGAGCCATCACCCACCAAGATACCCGCACAGCAGCCATGCCTTCTAGTGACCAACATAATGATACCATCGCCCAAGTAAGTTGATCCGAGCATGACCAGTAATCGCAGTTCAATGGATACATACATTTTGAGCGCCCTGGTATTGTTATGTTCAACATGAAGATGCTGATCACTAGCAACAGGCTTTCAAGGATATTACAAGGTATGCGTCAAGACAACCAACCCTTGTTTTCACCTAACAGGATGGTCCCAGTGGCGAAATGACAGCTCTGGCGCTGGAAAATCATCTGGACAAGCTGGAGAACAAAATAGAGGAGTTACTGAACGCGTTTGAAAAGCACCCAGAAACCGAGCAGACGAATGGGCAATGCTATAATCAAGACGAGGTGACATCGACACAAGCTCATGTTGAGGAGGAGTTGCGAAACAAGTCCTCCAAGTGAAACTGGCCATCGGCGTCCTTCTCTGCCACGCCCTTCTCTGTGATGATACCGTCAATAAGTGTGGACGGTGTGACATCAAAGGCCGGGTTCCAGACATCGATGCCATCAGCGGCTATGCGCACAGTTTCTAATTCAATATCATTGGTAGATTTGTTGGCACGCGGTCCTCTGACAGTTGTGACTTCGGAGGCCGCACGTTCCTCGATTATGATTTCATGACCGGACGGGGTGGCCAGATCAATTGTAGTAAGCGGTGCAGCAACGAGGAACTTCACACCGTGATACCTTGCAAGCACAGCGAGGCCATAAGTACCAATTTTATTCGCCGTATCTCCGTTCGCAGCCACCCTATCCGCTCCCACTACGATGGCATCTACCTGAGTACCAGACTTCGCAAGTAGAGCAGCGGCCATAGAGTCTGTTATGAGAGTGGCGGGGAGACGGTCGTGGACCAATTCGAACGCAGTCAACCGAGATCCTTGATTGTAGGGTCGTGTCTCGGTGCAGTAAGCACGGTTCAGATTGTCTGTAGACGCAAGGGCGCGGATAACTCCGAGCGCAGTGCCGTAACCTGATGTTGCAAGGGAGCTGACGGCGGGTTAGGATCGGATCACCTGCAGTTGAGCTTGGTTGTACTTACCCCGTATTGCAATGTGTGAGAACAGTAGCCTTCGGCTTGCCCACGGCATTGGCCATGATCCATTGGGCACCATGCTTTCCTATGTTTTTGTTGTCCTCAATATCCTTCACCAGCATTTCCTCTGCTGCTTGTATCAGAGCAGTAGCGACGCTGCGCCCAGTCGATCCAGGCCTTTGTGTATGATCACTCGCCACGGCCCTAAGCTTCCGAGCAGCATCGGCCAGATTTACTGCCGTGGGTCTGCTGCTCACAAGATAATCTAGCTTGTCCATAATGAAAGCTTGAACCTCGGGGGCTTCTGAGGGAATGCCATTGCATGAAATAAGGCCATGAAGTTCAGATGCAAGAGCGAGGGCCGCTACAATGGCAATAGCGGGTGCTCCTCTTACACGCATATCTTTTATTGCGTGCCATGCTTCCTCACTTGATTGTATCGTTATGTATTGTTCCACATATGGAAGCTGCAGTTGATCTATGATGGACAGATTGCCCTCGTTATATCTGATTGCCTGTAAAGTCATGATTCTGTTCGATTCAAAAGAGGCGAATTGATTCAAGACTTCTGGACGCTATACGTTCCTTGCGAGGGCACACTTTAAAAATAAAGCAGAAGGTAAGCTCTGCAAGATCGAGTACGAAAAGATAAAAGTAAGATCGAATGTGACGTTGGCTGGATGATTAGAAAATTTGAAACTCGGAGCCTAACTTGCTGGTCTGTAACACAGCACTGAATCCAGAATCGCACTTTTAACCGTTAGGTGGGGCACAGTGCCTAGGTCACTGCCGTACCTTATAAAGCAGCCTCTAGTCAGACGGTTACCCCTCCATGAGCGATTCCTGGTTTGCGCAATGAAGGCAGTGCAGATTCTAAAGTATAACTATCCTTTTATTTGACATGGGTCTTAAAATAAGAGATTGTTTCCGCTGCTGGAAACCTCGTTCAGAGGCTCAAACAAAAACCATTTGGATTGACTATCTGCGCTGGTCATCCAGTTGATAGAAAAGAGTCGCTAATAGAAATTCATAGTATTAATGCGCGGATATATACAGCACTATGAGAGTCAAAGAGAAATAGTTAGACGTGTTCATCTCCTTAGGTGTGACATAACAAACCGTTATTTCCGCGAATGAAGGCATCCCCGTAACTGCGGGACAGATTTCCATTAACAAACTCCTCAGATTTCTCCAGAGCGATATTCATATAGCCATCTACCGATTGAAGTTCCCCTGAAGAGTTCGTTAGCGTTTAATATTCCTGTTCTTCGTTTGTATATATCTCCTGTCCCCCCATAAGAGTCGTACTCTTCTCCTGTACCAGGGGAGAAAGACTCGATTTTGGCAGAAACGGTAGGTAGAACAAAGCAGAAGATGACTGTTCACCTTTATAGACAACGCCTGAGTTCAATTTAACAGTAACTGGGGCGCCAATGATTTCACCCAGAAAAGCTGAGGGATCCTTGCCATCAGATGAGGCACCGTTCTCCATTTTGCTGTCCTTTCTCTCTTCTTATCTAAAAGCTTTGAATAAGGGCTGGAAATGCTCAACAGGCACTAGGTGATCGTAATCGGCAATTTCACTGATTTAGTAGTGATTGGGGGTTATCATCAGTCTTAGCCCGAAAGGGGTTAGACGAAGGCCGGGGTCATGAAACACGTGCCTCTCCGTAAGCTGTAACACTGTAACATTGAGTACTGTTTTATCAAGCATTCTGTATGACTGCATCTGGTCAACTACTCGGACTCATTTTATTTCCATTGCGATATCCGATTTGCACTCATCAATACCTTTCACCACGTCCGACTCAAATGCGTTCGTTTTTCAAAAAGCCTTCATGGGCAAGCAGGGGAGATGAGGGAACAGACCCGAATTTCTACCGTCATGCTGGTCAAGTCTATAATGACATTATCACTGCCAACCGGAAAGCTCGGGCTAGCCGACTGTCTATAGTGCAGGAACCAAAGGGGGAACCAGAGCAGGAATTAGAGCAGGAATCAGAGCACACAAACTCCAAACGTCGACGTCTCTCCTGCAGACAGCCCTCCGCAGAAAGTTCATTAGGGGCCCTCACTCACAATGAAGCACTGCACAATGCGGAACAACCATTGGATTATAATGCTTCTTATGAGCACTTACAAGAGACCAGTAACAATGGCGATAGTTGTGGTCCATCCGCGGGAGTCTCATCTTGTGGTATCACAGTTGGCATTACAACAGAGACTGACGACCAATGTTGTGAGTCACTACCTGATGTGGAGCTTACTCAAGTTGGGGCAATCCGTGCGCATTCAGAAGTTACAAAAGCAGTCAAAGAGAACAAGATTGCTTCCGTGCAGCAGTCACGTTTCGAAAATGCTCGGGAAGTTGATGAGACTGTCAAACCCCATAATCACAGTCTTGCCCATAATCAAGCAATAGTTCAGATCCTCATTACCTCAAAAATCCCAAATACCAAACCATTGATTGTCCGCCGAAAAATGAACCAATCTCTAAAGGATGTCCGTCTAGCATGGTGTAATCGCCAGAAATTCACCAAAGAAATGCAAGAATCGGTCTTCCTGACCTGGAAGGGTAAGAGACTGTTTGATGTTACTACATGCCGAAGCCTGGGAATCCATGCAAAAAGCGGTAATTTTAACGGACATGACACATTCCACTTAGATGTGGAGGATATACAAGTTCATATGGAAGCTTCTACAGAAGACCTTCTCAACGCTGATCTTTCACACTCACAGACTGTGACTGACGCCAAGTCCAGTCCGGAATATACGAGCTGGAATGGGGCAACTTCGTCCTCGGACATGATACTATTAAAGTGTCCCGGGTTTGTTGATTTGAAGGTAGAGCTGAACCTGGAGATGCAGGTATCAGAGCTAGTTGCTACCTTTCGTGCTGCTAGGCAGATACCCGCAACCCGTGATATACAACTTGTATTTGACGGTGACCGCTTAGATAATAATGCTTATCTTGCAGACTACGAGCTCATGAACAGCGATCTTGTGGAGGTTATAATTAAGTGAATGAGTTACAGAGATGTAGGCAAAATATCACGAATATGTCTAAAAACCTGTTCACATGTATAATAAACAATTTGTATTAGCCTAAATTTTATCAGTCATATCGGAATTTGCAGTGGTCTTAGATTTCTCAAAATTTCTACAGTTTGATACCTAAATCGTGTTCTATCTTACCTGATATCTTCCCAGGAATGAGTGGGGGAGGATAGTTTCATTACCCCATATGAAACATGATTTCACGGCATCATACCATACCAGTGATTCTCTGCGCCGTAGAAGACAGCTGACATTGTTCTCAAGTCTGGATTATTTCATCTTCAAATCTTTGATTTCTTCAAAGGCATGTGCTTGTCTAGTAACTACCCCCTAATTCGTAGCATGTTAATTTAAATTTCGCTTGAGGCTTGAGAAACGGCAGCCAAAGTATGAAAATTACCGATAACGTAAGACACTAAAAATTTCCCACCCAATATATCCAAAGCGAACTCTGAAGGAAAATGTAGAACCGTCGCCCACTTTCTTCATTCTGGGTTAATATCTCTATTCGAAATGAAGCTCATCACTGTCAACTTTCTGACCTGTGCTGTGAAGGGGTGCAAAACAGCAGCAGCATCATATCCGCTGCATTTTCGAGATGCTGAATTAGAATTGCAGGAACTGGAGTTCCAGCCAGAGTTCATACTCAATATTATTCCTCGGATTGATTGGGAAGCGCTGCGAGTCATGGCAAATGAGGTGCGTGTACATTCCTGGTCCAATGCAAATCATACCATATACTGCTTTATAGGCTGTTTGAACTCACCCGGAAATAGCTCGGTTTTCCCAAAATCCCAGACACTAAGCCGGAAGGTGATGCGCTTAATGATGAGCAGCTTCTAAAGGAACTCCACAGGCTCTTGTTAGAAACACAGGTTGTTGAAGGAAGATTGTGTTGTGGAAATTGCGGCCATGAATATATGATCAAGGAAGGAATCGCTAACTTTCTTCTTCCCAGCCATTTGGGTCTGATATTCTTTTCCGTTAAACTTGTCCTTGACTTTGCTGACCACGCGCAGTCTAAATATACGAAGGTGTGAGTTCAAGTGAGCCCGGTCACTGGAACCCGAGATGCCTGTCCAGGAATCTGTTGGTCTCTTATTGACAAAAATATTTGTGACCTTCCGTCAGTCGGCTTTGCATCTACCAAAACTGCCAACCGGCTGTCAACTCTACGTAAACAAAGGATCGCAAGTTAATTTGGGACTTGAAGTTCCACGAATGCCTTGCAGCCGGTCAACTCATATCATGAGATACGCACTTCGTTGTTATAAAATACAATCCTACCAGCCGGATGCTGGTCCTTCTCTCGACCAATTCCAATGAACGCCATCAGACTAATGCACCTATCTATAGATGGATTTGCAGACCAAGATTGAGGAAGGTATCGAGATTTGAGTGGCTGGGTATGGAAGGGGAGAGGAGGAGAGAGAGTAAGAGAGTAAGAGAGGGAGAGAGGGAGAGAGCGAGAGAGCGAGAGAGCTTGGGTGTGTGTATGAGAGAGGGAGAGAGGGACAGAGTGAGAGACAAAGAGTAGTGGGGAGGAAGTTCTTTTTGACATGGATTCCGAGAACTCAGTGGAAGCCTTAGTTGAGAAAACCTTTACACCCGGTCGAACCACAGAGGCACGGGATTCTGTCATCGCTATCCCACTCTCTCTCAAATTTGTAGTCATATGTCAGCTCTTCGTCTGTTTATGGAGTATGTTAGTATCTTTTCAATTTGACCAATACATGCCATGCCCACTTACCCCTTTCAATGTCTCGTAATGCATAGATGACGATTCGCTTGCTGCCATCGACCTTTATTATTTTGGCCGTGCAATTCGGCGTACAGCTGTGGTTGATAAACCTGGCAATACCACCCCTCTTTGTCGCATCTATAACTGTGTTTTCATCGATACGAAAAAGGTAACTACTACCGATTCCGCTTTTCAGGTAACGCCGTTCTCTCATGTCAGCAACCTGCTGCCGGACCTTCTCACCCACATATTCAATGATCATATCGTTCGCAGATATGTTCTCTTCTGCATAGAGGCCCCAATTATGGATGGCGGATCGAGCAAAACGAACTGGCTTCTTCCGTTTCTTCAACTGGTTGAACCGGAGAACATCTCCATCGCCGCTCTGAGTTGGAAGAGCCTGCTTTTGAGCGTTGATATCAGCAATGAGGCGGCGATTGTTAACCCTTGTTGAACGGGAAGTGGACTTCGAGATCGTTTTTGCTGCAGCAATCCTTGCGGCTTCTGCAGCAACAGCATGTGGATCGCTCTTCGCCCTAGCTTCTCGCTCTTCACGGGCCTTTTGAACTTTGATCCGGTGCGGCAGATATTTTGATTTCTCCGACTCCAAGATCCGTTTTCTTCCTTCAGTTCTTGCTGCCCCAGTCGTGTTTGAAACGTAGTAACCGGGAATGACGGTCTCCTCGCGTACCGGACCAGACTCTTCAGGGCGATTAAGTGCCTTAATCTCCTTTTGTCTCCAAGCCCAAGCTGAAAGGTTGCCAACATTGGATCTCGAGAATTCTCGTAAGATATCACGAAGAAAGCAAAGATCCTCTTCATCCTTAACTAAATTCTGCCAACCGTCGAGATCCAGCACAATCGATTCGTCGTCATCGACCGTTGAGCGAGGCTCGTCATTCGATACTCGCCATTCAATCTCCGTTCTAGGCTCTTCAGTCTGCTTGCCATGCTCAAAACTACCAACTTGGGATACAAGATGGCGATGGTCTTTGCCGAGACCTTTGTACTCAACATCAGCACCCCATGAGTCCATGAGTGCCACTGCATCATCTTTCTGACCATGCCCTGCCAATTGACCATGGGAGACCAAGGGATCCGTGCCAGTTACAGATGGTTCATCTGCCGCTGCGATGACATCCTGGATGGTATCTGACCGAGATGGGGAGCATGCCATGTCTTGGTCCTCCCCAGATCCTGCCGCATCATCCATATCGAAGCATTCGTCGCCTCCTTTCTGTTTCTTCCGTGCCTTTGCTCGGTCATCATCCACCTTTCTTTTGCGTGATGAAGATTGGAGTCGGTCAGGGACCTGCTCGGGAGCCTCGCTTGGCGAAACGCCAGATTCATCATCTCTCGTGATGTCTATATCGTGAGACCTATCACTATCGGTCTGCCTTTCGGCAACAGGAACTTCCAACGTTTCAGAGCCGATCCGATCCGAGTCTTCCTCTGAATCCGAGGTCTCAGAACTCATTCGGCTCGGGGCACGACTGTCTAAATCTTCAGTGTCTCTGGTAAAGGGTGTCCTTTGCTCATCGTCTGAATCGTCCACATCGTGTAGTTGCTGGAGACGATGGTAAAGTGGTCTTACTTCCTTCTTTCGTAAGGGCTGTTTTCTTCTTTCATCCAAGAACGCAGCGTTCGTGCGATCTAGTCGATGTGCCTTTCTGATCCGTGGAAGAGCAAGTATATTCAGACCAGACGAACCCAAAGGATTCCTACTGGTTGACAAGTCAGAGCGTGAGTCAGGTGTGCCAGCTGAACTGTCGAGGTCGATGCGGAACATAGGCCTTTTAGCCCCCTCCGGTTCAGGAATTCCCAGCCTCTCCCTCTTCGTAGCATGTCGAACTGGATCCAGGTAGTCATACAAGGCCGGTGCTGCAATTCGAGACTTCACATCTTCAAGTAATTTGTCTCGTAGGTCCCGTATTATTATCGCCACCACCTCTCTGCAAGGGTCCAGATCCAGGGCACGTTGTCTTTTTTCTTCTTCGATGTCCAACTCTGCTTCCCTTTTCAGCCTGTCCTTTTCGGCTCGCTCTCGCTGTTCGGCCTGCAGTCTCTGGGGACTTGGACTTCGTTCGTAATTAGGATTCCCATAGGGCTGACTCTCCATGTTCATAATGTATGTGAACAGAGGTTTCATATGGCACATCTTATAGCATCTTTCGGTTTCTTCTTCGCCGCGCCTTGAATTCTCAAACACAATGTAGTACCCTGTCTTATCGCAACGTATGTCTTTCCAATCGAATAGTTTGAGCCTTTTCTTCAAATGCGGAACGGTGGTACTGAGGACCGGTACGTAACAGTGTGCGATGAATATATATGGGTCACGCTTGATCTGACTCAGTATAGGTATTTCTTCCACCAGTGATGGTACAACAGGCTTCAAAAAGCTTGCCCTCGGCCCTTCCGGGACTGGGACCGTAGGGCGCATTTGGGACCTTCCAGAAGGGCCCTTGGGAGCCGTCGGTGGAGGCTCATTATTCTTTGCCGAGACGCCCGTTTTAGGTTCCTCTGCACTCAGAAGGTTGTTCCTGTCCCCCATCCTCTGAGAGTCGACTGCCCTTGTTACTATCTTTGCCGAGACGATGCCGTCCCGGTCCAGCTCGACTCTGATTCTGCGCGTTCCAATCCGTTGCTCTTTTTTGCACTCATAATAGGCTCGCCTGGCTGCGTTCGCCGCGAGAACGGGCCCGCCTCCTCTGAAAGATGCGCTATCTTTATATTTGACTGAACATATCCCCAGAAATCTACCGGTTATTGGATCGGTGCGGTTGTTGATTTCAGCAATCTCCCCGAAACTCGAGAACAACGCATTTATTGGGGCGATTGGGGTCAAGGGATCGAATCCGGTGACCACTATCTGTACCGGAGGTCCAGGGCCAATAGTTGTCGAAGCGTCGTATGGCCAGTGTTTCAATGAGTAAGGAGCTGGCCGAAACTTGGTCTTCTGCTTGCAGCCACCACCTCGCGAATAATTGGATATCTTTAAACGAGGGTCTGCTGGTCGATCATCTTGCCCATTAGGCACTATATCCACATATCGCGCTTTCCTTCGCTTCTCCTTCGATGATATCCGCTTCTCTGAATCTGGGTCATAGACTAACTTCCAGCCCCTCACGTTTCCAGAAGTGCGACTCTGCGATCGGGGCGTTGGTGGGGTTTGCAGGGGCGTCATGGCGGGCTTTATGTCATCGGTCTTTATGGTGCCTGAACTATCTTCGATCCCGTTGGCTATCCTTATGTGAGATGGACTGAGCCTCTGAGCGGGCGACGACTCCGCGTTAGTGAGTGGCGTAAGCGTATCGAGACGCGCTTCATTCCCATATGCTGTGCTATGCTTATGTGTCGATGGGCGGGCAGCCGAAACGCTCACACTGTCAGAACTTGCAAGTCCATCACCATTGACAGTCGGCAAATTCTGTTCCTCCGCGTAAAGACCCGTTGTCAACTCAAGGATTGCCTTGGACTCTTCAGGAAGCGCACGCCCTGCATCGCTATGGTCGTGTTCCGGATGGGCCTCGGAGCGAGGCCGCTCCCGGATGGTCTTGCGCTTTTGCTGGAGGACGGACGGTGCGGTTGGGAAGAAGTCTGCAAATCCTGCTGAGGAGCGCGACATGTTGAGAGGTGGCTACAAGCCAAGACCACGATAGCTCCAACCAACAGGTAGCATCCTTGGTAGTTGTATAATACTCGGTGCACGGATTTATTGGCAGGAAATATCCTGGGCACAAGGCGGTAACGCGAGAAAAGTAAATCAATAAAGTCTGGAGAGAGCGGGTAGAATTGAGAGAAGCAGGCTCGGGCGGAGTTAAAGGAAAGGAGGGTAACAGAAGGGGTGGGTTTACAACTCCTGGGGTAGAAAAACTAAAATTAAAGAGGGTAAAATCGAAGGAGGAAGGAAGGGAAAGAAAGCAGAGAGAGGCTGTACTGATTAAGGTACTAAACAATCTGATTTTCCCCGTTCTGGTGAGCCCCTACCAACGCGACTGGAAAAGCGCGCGGAGAGAGCGATTCATGGCAGGAATCGGCTTGCAAGGTGGCGGGGAGCGTAACAATCCATGTGCGATTACGATGGATGGCTCAACAAACACGGGCTGTCGGCTAGGGAAGAAGACGTAACGCATGAACTCAAAAGGCGCAAAACGAAGGGGCAGAGAAGTACTGCACATTGCCATAACGTCTGCGAAGTTATAGGCGACTCCCGCGGCTCGACGTAGACTATCTTTTCTTGCCGTTTCTGCTCTTTAAACACGTACAGTAGGGGTGCGGAGTACGGAGCGATAGGTAGAATATCAATCCACCATACTTTGTTACCTAGGGACCATTAACTACTCCTGTCTACTACCCTGGAGGTTCCCTAGCCAGGACTTCGTCAAACGTTATGTGGAATTGTCAACTCCTACGCTAGTCCTGAGCCGATATTATCCTTCGATCATCTAGCGTATGATGAGTGTTACGTGCTGTGGTAACCTGACTTCATTTTGCGAACGACATCGACAACGACAACCCAACGGGCGGGAAGGATGCAGATTTTGACCTAACGAAGCAAACAAATTCATGCATAGTCAGCAGTGCATCTCGATGCCAGGGCTCTGCATGGCACTCCAGAAAGAAGAAAGACCTGGCGTTTAAGATTGATTAACATGACTGTTCGCAGTCATGGTACTCTTTTGCTGCAATGCAATCGTGGGCGTCTTTCCAATATACTTGTACTTGTTTAGCAACCTCTGGAGAGACCGGATAGTATGGAAAACATCCAATTTGTATGTATAATGCTATATGCATTAACTTATATGTGGTGAAAGATTGAAGAAGGAGCGGTGGTAGTAGTTAATAGGACTCGGACCTGAGCTTCACGTCCAATGTTCTTGCAAAACCGGAACCCTTCCGATTAGTAGCAGCTTGAATATACTGATGAAACGGCAAAGTTGGACTGTCATCCTTCCAGGCTAGTGGGCTTGGGCTTTAAAGTATCATACAGAGTGTCACTTCATCGACTTTCAATAGCCTCCTGACCTGACAAGGCTACTAGTAGGGGGTAGGATGAGTGGTCAAACCGATAATAGTGTGGTTGAAGATATATAAGCCTGTTACCTTCCCTTCGGCAGTGACAAGACACTTACAGTCGTTCACGGGCAAAAATTAAACACTTAACATAGGAGCAAACTATTGTCTGTCTGTGTTGAGTATCATCCATTTCCATGCTTACAACAAGGGCGACCCTACGTCATGTATGAATATGATTATGCAATAAAATTCCCAAGCTACGTATCGTACATACTTGCTTTTGGATGGGGCAGATATCTATGCCCCGATTCAAGTAATGCGAGAACCGCGGAGAGGAAAAACAAACCGTACACATGCAAATTACCAGTAAGAAGTTAAAAGCATCAGCCTCCGAGGCCTATGAGAGCTAAAAAACCCTACAGCCTTGAGCTATGGGGCTTCTACTCCGTATCGGGATCCATCGCACAGCAAAGCTGACTATTGGCGACGATGTGTGCGGTACTCCATATGTAAAACCACAGATACGCTGAGAAACCTATGAATGTTGTCGGGTATGCAGAGTCTTATACCGTGCGACAACAGAAAGAAGCATAATAAACCTTAAGCTTTGACTACTTATACAGTAACGTAGCCCGTGTATCTACTCCTTACTTCCTGGAATCCGAATACGAATCATGAAAGATATATGGAGTATTGCATGTAGGCCACTTCTTTGTCTTTGCCACCCAGTCGGCGGTGTGCCCGCATGCTCGGTAAGTAGGCATTCTGCATCTGCGAAAGTGTTTTTAGTATCAGCTAAAAACCAATTCTGGTACGGGAGACTCGTATTCCAGGTCCCGTTGAATGAATGGACTGTCACATATATAATAAATAAACCCCATCATGGGCTTTACTTTGTATACCATCCATGCCATATTAGAAAGATATTGAAATGACCAACCTACGTAGACAAGAGAGCTTGGCGGCTCCGGAAGTGTGTGGTTTGGGATCTTGTTTGGTGAACCGCTACTATTTAGTAATCGGCTTAGGAAAGGGGAGCCTCGAGTTTTTGGTTCATTTCCCCATGGGTCCGATGAAGTACCCAGGGGATACGCACGGTGGCCCCTTTTAAAACACATCGCGACAATTACCCCTCCCCCTTTTCCCACTCAATTATCTCGGTTTCCATGGGCAAGTTTACACCAGAGGCAAAATCTACTGTGGGATACGACTCATGAAGAACAAAGAGGGGCTCCCTCACGATCTTGGGTCTCTACCTGCCAGGTTCTTTGTCCCCAGGACATGTACATACATAACATACATAACTACGTACTACCGACATGAGTGCTGCACCTGATTTCACCTGCTGCTTACAACTTGATGTGTTGCATTTTCCAATTGTAGGAGTACATACCTATCTCTCAAGCAGATCACCACGACCATCGGGAGGGAGGGCGAAGTGATAGTATATTTATTACCTAGCGCTGAATTTATTATTAGAAACCTATGTTTAGAAGTTCCCTAGATCATATACTCCGTCTCAGCATTCGAACCAGATCCATGGCGTCAGGGAAAGAATTTGCCTAACTTGACTAATAATAGTTAAAAGTGGAGCGTTATTCTGGCCATGCAGGTGGGGGTGAGTATCGTACTTCGGTATCTACTGAGCAATTCGTACAAGCTAGTACAATAATACTCTATCGCTACCTTGGATGCGGATGGTCCTGGCCTGACTCAGGTCACGGGTGAAACATACCAGTCGATTGTGTGAGGCGCAGGGTGGGCTTATTGGCTGCTACCTCATTTGATGAATGGCTGAGAGTGCCTATAGCAGCTTCCCTGGTCTGTGTGTGCCAAGGTGGGTCGATCTCACCACATAAAACATAACAGCTCCCCCTCCTTTCTACCCTCCCAATTGTTTGTTGATCCCAGTGAACCACCTCCTCAACCTCTCCGTGTCTTTTCCTCCTGATTCCTCCTTCTCTCAACCCACCTTCATACTTACACCCCTGTTCATCGCCCCTTCTCATAAGCAGTAAGTCGAATTCATTTCCGAACGCAATGTTCGTTGTTGGTGTCTTGATTAAGATGGACCTCCTTAGGTGAACTTCTCGATATCTAGACATAGTGTCGTCTTCTTGGAGCGTCAAACGGCCCCATACTCTCCCTCACGTCTCCGAGTAATCACGATAAAAATAACCAAACATGTGGTATGTCTGGCTCCAGAGCTCAATCCTCGTATTTTCTGATGTCTAATACAAACTCTCAAGTGGCATTTTCGGCTACATCAACTACCTTGTCGAAAGAGATCGCAGGTTCATTCTTGATACTATACTTAACGGTTGGTCCCCTCCCCGTCGTGCTAGCCTCCGTCATGTCTCAAATCGCTCCCCGAACTTCTCCCAGTATATCTTGTATCCTAACATTGCGTAGGTCTTTCGAGACTCGAATACCGCGGTTATGATTCAGCCGGTCTCGCAGTCGATGGCGACAAGAAGAAGGAAGTCTGTGCCTTCAAGGAAGTTGGCAAGGTCGCTAAGTTGAAGGAACTCATTGAAGAGTCCAAGCCCGATTTCACCAAGACCTTTGAGTCCCATGCCGGTATTGCTCACACACGCTGGGCCACTCATGGTACTCCGTCTCGCCGGAACTGTCACCCTCACAGGTTGGTTAACTGAAATTATGCCCGCCGATTGGCTTAGGCTAAGGAAACATGAGACTAACATGTGGCCATAATCCAGATCTGACGCCAACTGGGAGTTTGCTGTTGTTCACAATGGTATCATTACCAACTACAAAGAATTGAAGGCCTTGCTGGAGAGCAAGGGATTCCGCTTCGAGACCGAAACAGACACTGAATGCATTGCCAAGCTTACGAAGTATCTTTATGATCAGCAGCCAGACATTGACTTCACGGTATTGGCCAAGGCTGTTGTCAAAGAACTCGAAGGCGCTTTCGGTCTCCTCATCAAGTCTGTGCACTATCCTCATGAAGTTATTGCGGCCCGTAAAGGTTCCCCGCTTGTTATCGGTGTGCGAACTTCGAGGAAGATGAAGGTGGACTTCGTTGATGTGGAATACTCCGAGGATGGCCCCCTTCCAGCAGAGCAGGCTTCTCAAAACGTTGCCATCAAGAAGTCTGCTACTGGACTGCTTGCACCTCCTGACAAGTCACTCCTGCACCGGTCTCAGTCCCGCGCTTTCCTTTCCGATGACGGCGTTCCTCAGCCAGCCGAATTCTTCTTGTCATCAGACCCGTCGGCGATCGTTGAGCACACCAAGAAGGTCCTTTACCTTGAAGACGATGACATTGCTCATATCCATGAGGGCCAGCTGAACATCCACCGTTTGACCAAGGATGATGGCACGTCGAACGTCCGCGCCATTCAGACCATTGAACTTGAACTACAGGAAATTATGAAGGGTAACTTTGATCACTTTATGCAGAAGGAGATCTTTGAGCAGCCCGAATCCGTGGTCAACACTATGCGCGGTCGACTGGATGTCGCAAACAAGCAAGTCACACTGGGCGGTCTCCGGCAGTATATTTCTACCATCCGTCGGTGCAGAAGAATTATCTTTGTGGCTTGTGGAACCAGCTACCACTCATGCATGGCTGTGCGTGGTGTTTTCGAGGAGCTTACTGAGATACCTATCTCGGTTGAACTTGCCTCGGACTTCCTGGACAGACAGGCACCTGTCTTCCGTGACGACACATGTGTTTTCGTTTCCCAGTCGGGAGAGACAGCCGATTCCCTGATGGCCTTGCGCTATTGTCTCGAGCGTGGTGCCTTGACTGTTGGTATTGTTAACGTTGTCGGCTCTTCCATCTCCCTCCTGACTCACTGCGGTGTGCACATCAATGCTGGGCCTGAGATTGGTGTCGCTTCTACGAAGGCATACACGTCGCAGTTCGTGGCCATGGTTATGTTTGCACTCTCGCTTAGCGAGGATCGGGCTTCCAAGCAGAAGAGACGCGAGGAGATCATGGAGGGTTTGGCCAAGGTATCAGAGCAATTCAGAGAGATCCTGAAGCTCAATGAGCCCATCAAGCAAATGTGCGCAAAGTTCTTCAAGGATCAGAAGAGCTTGCTGCTGCTGGGCAGAGGTGGCCAGTTCCCCACGGCCCTCGAAGGTTAGCAGGTCGATCTTTCTTGTCATCACTCCTCATTAACATGATTTAATAGGTGCGCTTAAGATCAAGGAGATCTCCTACCTCCACTGTGAGGCTGTTATGTCAGGCGAACTGAAACACGGCGTTCTTGCCCTTGTGGATGAGAACCTGCCCATCATCATGATCCTTACAAGGGATAATATTTTCTCGAAGTCACTGAATGCTTATCAGCAAGGTTAGTCAATCCTCCGCTCACATTCGCAAAGCTTTATTCTCTAACCATCCAACAGTCATTGCACGAGGAGGCCGTCCTATCGTGATCTGCAACTATGATGACCCAGAGTTCTCTGCCGCTCAAACAGAAAAGATTGAGGTCCCGAAGACGGTCGATTGCCTTCAAGGACTTTTGAACGTTATCCCATTGCAGCTTATCTCGTACTGGCTTGCAGTGGGAGAGGGTCTCAACGTCGATTTCCCCCGTAACCTCGCTAAGTCGGTTACTGTTGAATAGAGGGCGATGAAGAAAAACGATAGATTGTGGGCACGAGAGAGGGAACTTTCAATTAATGCATAGGGTTTCTAAATTAATGATGGTAACATGTAAACTTTGCAGTATTGGTAGTTTTTGCCCATATCTCTCTTAGTTGCCGTTTCCGTTTGGTTTCTGCTTCCGTTGTATCCGTCCGTTTGAGGTGTGTCCGGCCAGCTCGTCGCATGGCAACTGTAGCAGCCAGTAGTGTGTCTAGTAGTGAGCTAGACTTGTACATATCAAGCCGAAGGCAGTAAAGTAACCTGGAATTCCGTGGGTTGAGAGTGGGGGATCTGAGGGATGTTTTATTACATCAGTAAATATTGCTAACGAGATATCTAGCTCAAGGGATCATTACCCCTTGACCCAGCGGGGTACACTTCCGATCCCCCACTTTGCGTGGGAACTCGCACATATATGTTGCACATTGTTTGTCTGTCTCATCAGTTTCCTCGAACAGCACCTTCCTTCAATTCGACGACAATAGCCCATCGAGACCCTATATTTGGGAATTCTATACAAGAATTCGAACGCGATGACTTCTCTGTCTCTGAAAGGCCCGGGCGCTGCGCAGACCTATGATGGTAATGACGTCTTTCAGGTTGATCGTACGACTAATGATCCGTCTGCTAAAATTTGTTTTACTTAGGAACTGGGCTACGAATCGCCATCGTCCATGCGAGGTGGAATATGGGCATAATCGGTCCTCTCGTGGATGGGGCCAAGCGGAGCCTCCTTGCAGCTGGAGTTGCTGAGAATAACATAACGGTCCACACTGTTCCAGGCAGTTATGAGTTGCCCTTTGCCGTGCAGAAGTATGCCCATTGCCATCAAGCCTCTCCTTTCTCGGGGATTTTATTAGTGAGCTCGGAGACTGGTGCTGACTATGTACGCTGTCAGGTTATATGCGGCTTCGCAGATTGAAGCTGCCAAAGGCTCAGCCTCGGCGCAAGGCATCAGTGCCACCGATTTGCTGTCTTCCTCTACAGCGGACCTCACCAAGGCGTCTCCGCAGTCGCCATCGTCCGATGCACCTAGACCTTTCGATGCCATCATTGCCGTTGGAGTGCTGATTAAAGGAGAGACTATGCATTTTGAATATATCGCGGATGCCGTCACTCATGGATTGATGCGTGTGCAGCTTGATACGGGACTGCCGGTCATCTTTGGCGTGCTTACTGTCTTGACTGAAGAGCAAGGCTTGGAAAGAGCCGGCTTGGGCACAAAGGGAATGCACAATCATGGAGAGGACTGGGGTAATGCTGCAGTGGAACTTGGAGCAAAGAAAAGAGACTGGGCTGAGGGTAAAATTGTTTAGTGGACCTTCGGCAAGGCAACGATCTCTTGTTTCGTTTTGAATTATTCTGCCGTTGATTTAGGGTAATCAATCATCCTCTACAAAAGAGAAATCATCAATTGTATACATCGAAGATCAGGAACCTTGATTGGCGGTCTTAAGGCACAATTGCCATATAGCATACATTCGTTTACCGTGCATCAGGATATGAGGTCCACATGAATAGGGGTAAAGTAACGAGATGAATGATTCTTTGACAGAGTCTTAGGTGTAGGGTTCAGACTGTAAAGTTCACTCCTCCATCCGCTCGCTCTCGTTTGAATCACCCTTTGTTGCGTCTTCTTCCTCGTCCTCTCCCTCCAGAGCTCTCTTTGCTGCCCGCTCTGCCTCCTCACGGAGTTCTTTCGGTACCTCCTCGTGCCTTCCCTTCGTCGGACCGTCTAATGAACTAATCCAGGTCATTTCCAGTTCGAAGTCCTTGTCTTTACTGTCTTCATGGGCGACATAGATAATCCGAGCCGCTTCCTTCACTCCATCGAGAAGGCTCAGTGTGCCGGAGCTCAGGTCGAGTTTCTCAAGCTCAGCCTTGGCTGCTTGTCTCCCTTTCCCGGTGGCGGCGCCATAATAACCCTTCGATAGCGTTAGCATCGTCTAAAAGCACCATTGTAAATTACAGGAGCATACCCAGTATAGGCCGCTTGGCTCAATCATATATAGACCTGGACCTCCAGTTCTAGCGCCCTCGACTTTACCGCCAGAACCCGACTTGGGCCCACTTCCGACCTGACCGTCGACAGCAAGCTCGGCTTCGGAGTCCCAGCCTCCGACAATAGCAGTCACGCCGAAAGGCCTGACACTAGAGTAGAGTGTGTAAGCTTGCACGTAGCTCCCAAGGCGGTTGGATAGCGCAGAAGTTGGAATTGGCCCTTTGTAAACACTTCTCCATGATGAAGCCTCATCACGAGCCCGAGAAACGAAATGTCGCCCGTCCGGCACCAGACCGGCGGAAACCTGCCATGGAAGCAATGTATTAGCGCGACAGACTCCTAATCAGCGTAGACGCCCACTGTTTCTGGACTCAGCTTGGATCCTTACAATGCCAACGTGACGATCAACCGTAGCTATTCTCTTATTGGCGCCAGGCTTCAGAAGCTTGCTGGTAATGATTTTCTCCACTGCGAGCACGACACCATCTTTGCACCTGATACCAATGGCTGTCCCTCCATTCTCTACCGCTTTAACGGCATATTCTACCTATTTCGAATAGTCAACAGAGCCGCTTTGGCTATGAAGGTGGAGGAAGGCGAATGGATACCTGGAAGTTGCGACCATCTGGGGAGAAGACTGAGTTGGAGAGATCGTACCCAGTGCCAATGGAAGTCTAGTGAGATAATCAGTCATGGAGGAACGTCGACTTGGGAGTTGAGGAACGAACCATGGCTGGAGAGGGTTGTTTAACACAGATTCAAGGGATGGAGTAGAATTAGAAGATATGAGAATGTTGATAAGGCCAAAATGTTGAGCTACTGGAGACACTTGAAAGCTTGAGCACAGGCAACGGGGCAGTTAGCAATGTGATCACTCGGGTAAGGTAGGTAGCTAAGGTACGCGTAGTTAGCAATGCCTGCCTAAGCACGAACAGCTGAGTACATCATCCCCTTCCTGGTATAGGCTAGTGTCTTGCCGCTTTTACCAAGCCCGACGCTGTCATGTGATGCGATCCCTGCAGCTTTGCTGGCCCCACTCCGCCGGGTTGCGATAAGGGATAATAAGTCTCGTTGCATCATCTTTATACATCTTATAATATAACATACTATTTACTTCTACTCGAAAAGGCAAGCTAGTACTTATTGCACAGATTGTGCGCCACATTTGATTGGGCTTAAGATATCAACGCTTGTAAAGTTTTGTCACCTGATCAATACTATATGTTCGAGGGGATACGGTATGCAAATAACCGTATGTAATTCTATGCATGTGGGCTGGCATGCACTACTGGTTTCCATCCCCGCCGGCTTTCCCCTGTCGGCCTTAAAATGACCATCTTCTGAATGATATGGATGGTTCCATCAGTACATAACCAGCATCCGGTGGGTGAACAGCCACGCGACTTTCACTCGGTAGGTAGGTATATTCTACGTTCTGTGAACAAGATCTTGCAAGGCTGCATGAATAAGGTACTGGTCCTTCTGACCTTCATTATAAATGCCCAACCATGTGTCTGTTTCGGGCATCGACATGTATCGGTTTACATTTGACCAGCGCCTCCCCACCACATTGCTTGATGTTTCCTATTTAATCTTCCTACCTACCGAGCAAATATATCCTTTACTTCTGCTTGCTTCCCTTCAGCTAGAGTGTTGTATCCTAAACTGGACCTGGAGCTGTCTAGGGCTTCAATATTCAATTCCCCTCCACTTTGCCGCCCGCCCTCTTATTTCGAGAACACCAAGAAGGAGAAGGTCAAGCGTGCATCATTTGCCATCCATTTGCACTCCCAAGATACATAGACGATATGTCTTCATCTATATTGCATAGCTGCCCCTGCTGTGGGCAAGTTACAGATATCTCCAATGCACTTGCTGCTTTCATCGAAAACCCCTATTGTAGCCAGGTAGATACTTTTGACCTTTTGATATCATAAGCTCTCTGACAAGAGAACATGCAGTGCGGATTGTCCGCTTCTGAAAGCGATTTGAAATTACAGAATGATCTCTCGGCACTCTTCGACAAGGGGATGAACTTAGAGACGCCATTGTCAACCCAAGAGAGCGTGGGAGTACAGCGTCCTGCTCCCTCATCCCCAATTGTGTATAGCATCACACAACATTACCATCACTCTGCGCATGTTGCTCAACAGAATACTACTCGTGCCTCCGAAGGTGTTCATCGCCGCGGCACCAATGCTACCGTCAACGAGACACTCCGACAGCACAACGTGGACCCTTCAACACTTTCGGCCAAGCAAATGGAGCTTTTTGAACATGCCATGCCAGAACAACAATCGCGTCTCATCCAGATGTGGCAGATCTCCCCAGAGCACAGCTATGCAGCAACTAGCAACGTCACCGGAACTAAATCGCTGGACCAGGAAAGCTCGAATGTAGCCGGCACTGTTGGCCATGCCCCGACACCACTGAATTGGGCAGCCACAGGTGGTGATCGTGAAATGTGCGATGTGCCTGATAGGAACGAGAATGGGGACGAAGGACACCAGTATGCTGAGCCATATATGGTAAATGGGTATGAGGCGATAGCCCGGGAATGGCATGGACTCCCTTCATCTCAGCCCACACACCTCATGGCTGAACCAACAACCGGATCACCGTACAAGCTTTCAAGTGACCCTGTTTACTATGCTCACTGTCGAAGATGGTGGGAACCTACACAGCAAAGTTCGGTGGAGTACCAATACGGTCTATTCGACGAGATGAACCGTCATCCCCAATGTGGCCTAGTGCAACCTCGTTAGATCGAGGGTACAAAGATGGCCATGGCGTTCATTCCCAGGTTGTGGTAGTCATTGCCCAGATAATGTTACCATAATGACGAGCCTGCGAGTTTCCGGCATGGTGAATGTCAAGGAATGTTACGCTTGGATAGCTTTATATTTCCCTGGCACTCGTCTGAATTGATAGGAATTTACTAGACGGTCTACCTAATGCCGTCAAAGAATGCATGTGCTTATAGCGACTTGAACTACGGAAGAAGCCCGCTAACTCTAAACAAGCTGTAGAGGGAGAGAGAACGTGTTAACAGGTTTTTGTAGTGCTATTTTGTAATAAGCAATATATGACCATGGGAGCCCACAGAAAACTTCGTAGACATGACAAAACTATGCTCCCTCTATCTCCCAAGCTCCTTTTGTTCACCATCTCTCCCTTCTTCCTCCCCAGGTCTGAACGCCACACCCATTCGAGGGCCATGTTAGGTACTCATTCAAGATCTGAACCGAAGAGCAAGGGCTTAAAGAGGTAGTTGTAGCTGCCAGCATCCAAGAAAGTCGGTGCGGTAGATATATTGCGAGAAAGAGTGACTAGACAGTACGCAGCACTTGGTTTGCTGGTCTTCAATTCGGCCTGGATGTAGTATGTTGGTTTTTTTTTTTTTTTTTTTTTTTTTTTTTTTGGTATTTCAAGCCAAAGCACCGCCCCAGGCCACAGTATAACAGCTTTGGGAGAGAATATGACGTAGATCGAAAGTAACGTAATTGGAAAAAATATGTAAATGAAGAAGATAACGAACCCCGACTCTGGTTGCTTGAGTCCTAGGAAGACTGGCGACGGGTGAGAAAGAGAAGCATAGGCTCGTTGGAGGCAGTAGCCCAGCCTACTGGAAGTCAGACTCGTCGATATCTGCCATAGCCTCCGCAAAGGCATCGGCAGAGCGCTTGACTTCGCTGCCGGCTTCGACAGCCCGCTTGATCTTGTTGCAAGGCTGACCAGGCAGGACACACCATCTCTGAAGGGTCTCGGGAGAGGCGTCTGCAATGGCTTCAGCTAAAGCATCGGCAGAGCGCTTGACTTCTCCGCTAGCATCAGCCGCACGCTTGATCATGTTGCATGGCTGGCCAGGGAGGTAACACCATCTCTGCAGGGCAGCAGCCTGCACAGTGGTGGCAGCAAGAGCGGCAAGGACAATAGAGACGAGCTTCATCTTTGCAGGAATGTGAGGGGGTTTTTTATTTTCTGAAAGTCAGATAAATTTGAAATTGAGGGAATGGTGTTTGAGCTTTGGCTTGACAGTTTGTATTTCTTTAAGACTGCCAAACACGAAAAAGAGCCTTTATATAGGTTGCTAGTAGAACGCAGAAAGCCTGGGTCACCTCTGCCTTGCTGTGCATCAATGGAACATATCGCTATTGAAGCGGGTCCAGAGCCTGAGCCAGGAAAGAGAAGGTACTAGGGAGCAACAACATCCTCTCTGAATAAAGCACCAATTGACCGGGAGAGGCAACACATCAGTCAATTAAGTAGATACATGGTACATTCCCAATGTATTGAATGGCAAGGCAAGAGAAATGAGCCAGAGATTCAATTGGCATTGCCACCAATAGAGACAGAATATAGGAATATGACTATTCGTTTGGTGTTAGCTACCGGCTTCAATAAGGAATAGAAAGGAAGTGGACTGTATAGTAAGGTCGAGAGGGAAGGGGAAAGAGAGAGACCCAGGGGTCCGAATCAGAGATCTTTCTTTATCCATCGTCCACGATGCTCTCTACAACCTCATATTTAGTAAGATCGCAGGCTTTCCAAAACTGGGTGTCAATAACACTCAGGCCTTATGAGGTGGTCAAAATATCAAGTTTCCCTTGTTCTGCCAATAAGACAAAGTATGACCAGATTCAGCTATCAATAAGCTATTGAGTACTTTGACCTTGATGAACATGGGGTGGTTGTTGTGAACAAAGCACCCGCTCTACTTCCGCAAATCGGATGTTTTGAGACCCTCGACGAGGACCGGCATGTGGCGGGTCAGCCGTGGTTGCTGGCTGTTTCTTAATCATTACGTACTTTTTTGGGACGTTTTCCTCTTGACATGAACAGAGAAAAAGCAAGAATAAGATCATGTGGTCGTACATCCGTTCTCCCTTGTGAGAATGTACAGTAGAAGGTAGAGGATCCTTGTACGTATGTATAATGGACTGGAACCATTAAGTCGAAATGCTGGTCGGGGCGGTGATAGAGAGATAAGATCGGCCCGCGTGAGTAGTAAGTAGTTTTGGTTGTCCGACATGTTCTTTGAGTGGATGCCGAGACGATCCGCCGTTTTTTCCGGTGTCTCGTGCATCGCTGGCTTTAGGTCTTTTCTCGCCGTCTCCGGTTCCGTCTTTGTCTTTCCTCCCTCTCCCTCCCTCTCTCTCTTTTTGCTCTCCCGTCCGCACGTTTTTGGGTCCCCTCTCCTCTCCTCCTTTTCGGTCCGTTCAATCTTATTGTCCGTTTTTCTCGACCCCTTTGTCCATCAAAATGTTCTCTCTGCGGACGGCGCAACCCGCGCAGGTAAGTGGATGGTTCCTTGCTTTTTGACCGATCAATTCCTTTGTCCGACCCGACTTCGCTCGAATCCTTGCCCTTACTTCCCTCCCACCGCCGTCCGCTACATCCTTTCGCCCGGCTGAATTTAGAGAGGAACGCCTGGGCGCACTTGGAATACGAACTCTCATATACTTTGCTCAATTGCCTTTTCGTTGACGATCTACGTTTTTGGTGGTTTCCGATTTCCTCTAACGCGGTTATGCTTGGCAGTCTTTGCTCCGTCGCGTTGCGGCGCCGACTTCCTTCCGTTCCTCCATCCCAGCAAGATGTGCGTCAACCTTCTCAATCGCGTGCAATACCGTCCTGCTAGAGACATAATGGTTTATTGACTCTATAACCCAAGCCTTTGCTAGCGTTCAGTCCGATATCTTCAAGCCCACTAAATATGGCGGCAAATACACCGTCACTCTCATCCCAGGTACCTACACCCGCCTCTTCCTCAACTTGATCAGTTTGCTGATGCCTCGGTGATTCGCTTTCATAAAGGTGACGGAATCGGTGCCGAGGTTGCTGAGTCGGTCAAGACTATCTTCAAGGCCGACAATGTTCCCATCGAGTGGGAGCAGGTAGATGTTAGCGGTGTTGACACCGGTAACAAGCACTCGGAAGAGCTTTTCAAGGAGTCCATTGCTTCTCTGCGCCGTAACAAGCTGGGTCTGAAGGGTATCCTCTTTACCCCAGTTGAGCGCTCCGGCCACCAGTCGTTCAACGTTGCTCTCCGTCAGGAGCTGGATATTTTCGCCTCGATCGTCCTCATTAAGAACATTCCCGGCTACAAGACCCGTCACGAGAATGTTGATCTTTGCATTATCCGTGAGAACACCGAAGGTGAATACTCTGGTCTCGAACACCAGTCCGTGCAGGGTGTTGTGGAGTCCCTGAAGATTATCACTCGCGCCAAATCCGAGCGCATTGCCAAGTTCGCCTTTGGTTTCGCTCTTGCCAACAACCGCAAGAAGGTTACTTGCATCCACAAGGCCAACATCATGAAGCTTGCGGATGGCCTTTTCCGCAGCACCTTCCACAAGGTCGCCGAGAACTACCCGACTTTGGAGGTTAACGACATGATCGTCGACAACGCCTCCATGCAGGCTGTTTCTCGCCCCCAGCAGTTCGACGTTATGGTTATGCCCAACCTGTACGGTGGCATTCTCTCCAACATTGGGTCTGCCCTTGTGGGTGGACCTGGTGTTGTCCCTGGTTGCAACATGGGCCGTGACGTTGCTGTGTTCGAGCCAGGCTGCCGTCACGTTGGTCTTGACATCAAGGGCAAGGACCAGGCGAACCCTAGCGCTATGATCCTTTCTGGATCTATGCTTCTGCGCCACCTGGGATTGGACGACCATGCCAACCGCATCTCCAAGGCCGTCTATGATGTGATCGGTGAGGGGTGAGTTTCAGACTTTCATTTCAACCTTCCAGCTTAGTTCAGAGCTGTCGCTAATGCGTAATTTCCCTAGTAAAACGAGGACCCGCGACATGGGCGGACAGGCTACCACCCACGAGTTCACCAGGGCAGTCCTGGACAAGATGGAGGCTGCTCTGTAAATTATTACCCACTTGAAAACCGACCTCCCACCTTGCATGTGGTACCTGCTACAATTATGATGATGAGAGCTTGTATAGGCCAGTGAAATGTTTTTATTTCTATCTGTAGACCAAGTCTGGCCTTTCTGACTGTCTCTATAATTTGTACTCCCCTTCACTCCATCTGACACAACGACGCGCGGCGTCGGACACATGATTGTGTGCTATGGCGCGTAAAACTGTACACAAACGTTTGAATTTGAAAGCGTGTCTCTTCAACATCCGGACTGCTTAGCAAAGATCCCAGTAGACCAACGACAACTGAGGAATCCAGTGTTCAGTAGATACGAACTCCAGCGGCCTGACATTGGCGGGAATGCCATCTCCCTTGGGATAGTCTTGGCTTGCCCAGAGGCAAAGAAACGGCGCGAAGAAACCTCCAAATGGGAGAAAACTCAAGTGGTATGCAAACGTGAAAATTATAGCCGCGTACCGGTTGCCGAGCCCTACTCTAGCTCTCCAGCAAAGGCCGACACCGGAACGCTGGATCCTTTTCAGTGGTAATTGACCGGCACAGGGAAACCCGCCTATGATAGAACGATCTGTACCGGGGTGAGGATGTGACCGGGGATTATAATAAGGGCATAGTGAGCGCGCTATACAAGAGAAATCAGAAAGCGGGACGTCGTTTTCTGCCGGTATATTTCGAATTCGCCTTCACAACCTTGCCTTTCCGGGTCATCTGTTCCTTTTTGCGTAGAATCCAGGCCTTGTCACCCTTCCTGGATGATGCTTGTTTGCCACGCTCCATAGCCCTTTTCCGGGCGTCCAAGACATCCACGTCGTTCATGCCATCAACAACACCGGTGATGTCACCTTGTAATCCACCTCCTCCAACGGTGAGCACGAGATAGAGTTTGCTGTTCTTTGTACCCGGGTCATCCTCCAGTATACCAGCTCCAAAGCCGGCCTTCATGGCAGCCCCACTGATCATGCTCCGCTGAGCGTCGTTCTTTGGATAAAATTGGCAAACTGCGCGACCACCACGCCGCAGGCTAGCATAGAGGCCCTCGAAGAAGCGACGAAGACGGTACTCCGGGCTAACATCACTAGACTCCGCATTGCAGAGCCATTGGATAGCACTGATACTGATGGCTGCATCGAAACTTCCTGGCCGGAACGGTACTCCTTGCCCGATGTCAGCAAGGAACAAATCGCCATCGACACCGCGCTGGAGGGCAACATCGAGCATGCTAGGTGAGATGTCCATGCCGATCCAGGTATGCGGGCCTCCGTCTTCGGGAGCCACCTGGGAAAGAATCTCGCCGGAGAGACCAGAGCCGCAGCCAAGATCAAGGATCAAAGAAGGTGTTTTCAGGTCTAGGAGGTCGAGTGCCCGATGGGTCATGTCGGACTGAATGTTACGGATACGAGACGAGGTGGTATATTTTCGGGACTCATTATCATCATAGAATAGATCCGGAGGCCTTGAATAGTAGCACTGTGTTAGTGATATATTGGCTACTGAGTTTCCTCGTAATCCACCGAGGGTCACCTACAAGACATCTTCAGGACGCGACATGTTTGCGATCAAGTCCCTAAGTGTTTCGGGCGGTTAGAGAAGCAGAGCGATGTTGAGGTTTGAAAGGGGGGGGGAAGTCATTCATACCTCTCACTATTTTATTTTTTTTTTTTCGGGGGGAACCTACTTTCGTCGGGCGGAGTGTAGCCGCGGGGGCTTGGCATGCGGTGCGGTGGTGCACTTTGTTATAGCCTGAGGCACCAAGGACGGTCCAGATCGGCCAACTGATTGCTCTTGTTACATCTTGCCAACTATCCGATGCTTGATGTTACTACGCCCGTGCCTATCGATTTGAACCGGTCCGCAGCGCCCTCGCCCTCGACTTCTACATAATGTGGATTCTACCCTTGGTAGGGTATTTGGGGGTTATTGTAGGGTTCGCTTTCCTTACGTTAGCGATAGGTACGATATGCCCGCAATGCGCGCGATGATGATGACGACGATTGGTCTTGCTCTCGTCACCATAGACTGGAGAACAAGATGCCGTGCTCACATGGCTTGTGATGCTATTTGTATTCATTAGACTGACCTGTCTCTAGCCTCCGGTCTTTACTACCTCTCGGAGCTTGTGGAGGAGCATACAGTTCTCGCCCGTCGGCTGTTGTACCGGCTGATATACAGTATCATCGCCGTTCAGATCCTTCTCTACTTATTTGACCGATTTCCTTTCTCCTTGACCGTCCTCAGTATCGGCTCGCATATCGTATATGCCAGCAATCTCCGCCGCTTCCCCATAGTCAAGCTGTCCGACCCTCTCTTCATCCTATCATGCGGGCTCGTCGGGTTGAATCATTGGCTTTGGTTTCGCCACTTTTCACAGCCATTGCCTTCATCGCGTGGCGCTAGCAGCTGGCGCCAACCATATCAGGTTAACGTGGAGGATATGCCAACCTTCACAGAGGTTGCGTCTTATTTTGGACTCTGTGTCTGGCTGGTTCCATTCGCGCTCTTCGTCAGCCTCAGCGCGGGCGATAATGTCTTGCCTACCATGGGCTCCGAGTATGCCACAGGCGACCGTGTGCCTACTTCAGGGTTCACCCCGGGTACATTTGCGTCCGACGGAAAGTCCAAGAACAAGGGAATGGCCAAGGCCCTGGTGGATGGCGTGCGGGACTGGGTTAAAGATAACGGGGAATTGATGGGTTTCTGGAAGGGTGAACGGGCAAAAGGCTTTTAGGGACGAGATTATTTTCTGCTCTAGGCCTTTGTACTAACATCATCTTGTCGGATACCCTTGGCGTTCTGCTCTCGGATCAATTTCCTACGGGCTCTCAGTGAATGGCTGGAGGGAAGCCTTCATGAGGTACCCACTAGCAGTTACCTGTTCTGGTGGAGTTGTCTTATTTATACTAGCTATATAGGCTAAAGAAACAAACCAATGTGAATCCGCAGTTCTCAAAGTGTAGCATATGCACAGGCCAAAACCAAAGGACGAAATCATAAGGCGTGAGGGTATATTGTTAGGCATGCCTCCTTCCAGTAGGGTTCACGGTGTGTACAATCCAATAATAAGTATCACAGTGTGCTGCGTGTCAACTCCGGACTGCAACAGGCAAGGACAGGGAAGATAATTAGAAACAGAGGATACTCCAGTATTATTAGTAGTATTAAGAGTACCCCGTAGTCCTCGGCTAATTGTAGCAGAAGTACAATGTGGTCGTTTCACATTCGTTTGGATCGTCGAGCTCGGTCGTGACAAAGGAGCCATACTGCAACATATCTGAAAGTCTCAATGACAACAGGCGAATCTTGGCGCGGGGAAGGGAGATATGTAAAGAAGAAACAAGAAACAGTAAGTAAGCTTGAGGCTAAAAGGAATTCATGATAACAAAACGCTGAATATGACGTAATAGCCCATTGGAGCACGCCATAATCGTAATTATTCACATACAAGCTGCGTCAAACTTTGAAGAGTCAGCGGATGATATTGATTGGTAAGCTTGAGGAAGAACCCATACCGTTTTCACCATGGAGCGATGCAGGAAAGTCCTGATGGTTGACTTCCATGAACAAGAGAGAGCTCTCCCTCCTCTTCGCCTTAGCCGAACGAGAGTTGTCAATATTCGGCGACAACATCCTGTTCAAGGACGGCGAGCTTGAATGGCCAATGGTATATTCGTCCGGCCCACTTCCAGTAGAACGTTCATGACTGTTGGATACAGAGCCTTTACTACTCTGTAGGTAAAAGCCATCCATGCCGCCTGAATGTTCACCGAATGTAGTCTGACCATAACCTGGCGTGGATGCCTCCGGAGCAACCTGACGAATGGGGTACCGGAATTCTTCATGGGAAGGAGAATAATTGACATCCGACTCCAACGTTTCAGCAGGAGTATTGAGCACCCCATCAAAGATGTCCTCGAAGTCGGTGAGGAACATTGAGAAGACGGGCGCTGGGATGTTCAAGGTAGGAGCAAAGACAATACCAACGTTTCTGATAGTCATCTTATTGATATCAGAGTTGTTTACAATAACAATCAAGAACTGGACCAACGCTCGCAGCAAGGCCAGGTTTGGCTGAGGGAGTCGGTGAACAAGGTGATTGAAAGCGGCGATCTTCTTTTGTTTTTCATGAAGTTCTATAAAAGTGTGTTAGTAATAGAATAAACCGTACAATGTGAGTACTTACCGAGTACCCGCAAGAACTCTAGATGAAGTTCGCGGGTCAAAACCGTGGTGGGAAGTTCACGTAGGTATTGCTTGAAAAGGGAGGCGACGGCATGTACATCATGATACTGGTCATCTGCGAGAAAATCCACATCGCCTTCAGTGTTGAACCTCTCCTTTAGTGCCTTGACAACAAGATTCGACCCGCTCAACCGGAAGATTCCTTCCTCTGACTCAGCACCTCTAGCTCTGAGATATTCTATGCAACGATATACAACCGCAGGTAAATCAGCGTCTATTCCTTGTGGTGCGCAAAACTGTACGGCTTCAGCCAAGGGCAAGCCAAACACTGGCCGGACGAACTCTCGCTTCTCAATATTGTTCTGCACGGGAGCCAGCGAGGAATCATGGCAAGCCTGGAGCTGAGTAGCAAGGTCAACAGACGACCTTGTGCGGAAACCCCAAATACTGCGTTTCTTTTCCTTAACGCTCGTAGCTGCTTTGTTGCCCCAAGCTCCCGCGTCCTGGATTATAGCTCCATTGGTAGGGCCGGAGATGAGCCTAGATGAAGACTGACCATGGTCTGGACCGGAATCTGCAGTATCGACTGAAGGCCCTGTAGAGGCTATCGGGGACTTGGGGATCTGTCGATCAAACGATGGCCCAAGGACAGGCGGCTCGGCAGGAACAGCATCATCGTAACTGAAGCCCTGAACTGCAGCATCAGCGCCTTCAGTGTCTGAATTGTCGATTCCTTTGTCTGTCTTCTTTCCGCCATTTGAGAATAGTTTCGGTTTAGCAGCAGAACTAGTCTGCTGTTTTCCGCTTGCTGATGGCAGCGACTTTGCAGGACTATTGAGGCCATCGTTCTCTGACTGACCATCAACATATTCAAGAAGTGCGTCCACCCAGGTATCTCTTTCTTCGTCACTCTCAGCACACAGAACATGGCGAACAAGAGCTGACGAGTCCTTGCGCTTGGGCTCCAAAATGAGGAAAGCATGGCGATACTGGTTGTCGGAGTCCTCCTCGGTGTGGGACGGTGAGCTGTTCCGACCGCTTGCATTCTGCGATTGCTTGCCAATTTGCGCGTTGTACAGTTTGATCGTACCAAGATGAGGACCGCCTGGAGACTCGAAATATTTTAGCTCGGGGCTATGCAAGACGAAATATCGTGCTTTCCAGCCGCCGAAGTTCTTTCCTCGTTTTGTTAGATATCCCTCCTTCCTCGGTTTACCATCTGGTCCACGTAAGATTTCGGCACCAGCTTGGTGATTACCTCTCAGTAGACTCATCTCATCATCTCGGGGTTCAATGGCATCTGATGTAAGGAATTGACATATGACCAACGCCGCCTTGTCGTCCATCGGGGTATCAAGGAGAGCTTCAAAGTAGGCATTCAACGCGGCACGTCTAGTGTCAACTTTGGCGGGAGAATGTCCGCTAAAAATGGACCGTTCAGGCAACTTTCCTCCAAAAGACGACAATTGTCGCATCTGTTGATCAATTTGAGGAAGAGCAGCGATAACCTTTTCAGTGCGCCAAAGCTCCATGTTTTCGGATCTTGAAAATATGCCCAACGTAAATACAGGTTCTTCCTCCGATTGCCTAGAAGCCATATAGCTATTTCTGGACGGCCGAAGTCGTGATGACGAGACTTTGACATGTATTGAAGGGAGGGCATTTGGTGGCAGCAGGAGGTTTGGATATTCATCCGATACAAGACCTTGATATATCCCGTTATTCCTCACGACTGGTTCTTGTGGGCTGTCAATCTTAACTGCCGCATCGATTGATGGAATAGGCCGGTTGTGAGCATCGACTGACATGGAAGAATATGCAGAACTGCTTGGAATTAAATTAGAAGGGGTCCCTGTAGAAAAAGGATTCTGATGCTGGCCAGTGCGCGGCGACAGTGCCAATCCGGAAAGATTACTCTCAGACGACATGGGCAAAGACGATAGAGCACCAGGAATTTCCCTGGGTAAGCGCGGCAACGGAGAACCCAGCGGGCGGTCCTCGGGCCTTGGGCTGACTGGCAAACCGGGACTCTTTGGAATACTGATGCTAGGAAGGTCGCCAAGTGGTCCATTATGTCTCGTACGGGGACTGGACGCGGATGATCCTGAATGGTCAATCGAAGGCTGTGCTTGTCGCGGGTTTGACAGCGATTCCACAGCCGCCAAACTATGTAAATTGCTTCCTTGGCTTCCAGGGTCCTGTAGGGTCTCTTGGTCTCTGTTGAGAGCGGCCTCGCGTTCTCGATCGTCATCATCTCTCGTCCTTCTCCTCCCGCGCTCCATTGGCAACTCATCCGCAGCCAATATATCCTCATACTCAGAATCAGAGTCATATATATCAGGTTCTGTTGATGTATCTTTCTGGGAAAGATTCAAGGGAGCAGGCGGAGGTTTCCGGACCGGAGGGGGCACATCCTGCTGCTTATTCTGCCCTGGTGCAGTGCTATCGACGGGAGATGTTGAACCACTCGAGGAGATTGGACTCGCTGTCGACAATTCTCGTCGTGTATATACCAGTGATGGATTGCTTTGCGTTTCGGCTTGCCGATCATCATGAATAGTGGAATTGCTCACGGCACGCTCCTTGCCTGGGTGTAATGGCAACTGGCCTACACCGAGGCCTTGTAGCGAAGCCGAATCAGGCGAATCTTGTTTCTCGACAGCGGCGGACTGTATAAGAGTAAAGCCCTGACCCAGATTGTCGGAGTCTATACTGTCCGAATGCCCACCGCGATTGTGCGCCTGGCTTTTTCGAGCAGGTCCATGGCTGGTCAACGTGCCGCTGCTTTCGCTGTCTCGTGATCGCAGTTTCGAGTCGATAGTGGATGGTAAAGGCGGCGGGGAACTCTGCAACTCTTTAACCTTTTTCCTGTAGCGTTCCTTCTCTTTCAAAGCACGTTCGAGATCTTTATTCAAGCCTAGAATGAGTGTACGCTGCTTATCAACCAATCGCCAGAGCTGCGAATTTTGAGAGGCCGCATGATGCTTTTCCTTCAGGAGGTGTATAATCACAGCCTCAGCTGACCCAGCAGTCGCTATCAAATTTCCGATATCGGCCTGACTTAGCGCATTGGCATCGAATGAAGGCTTGTGTGTTTGAGAAGCGGAAGAGATCGACGAGATGGCCGAATCAATGGAGGAGGTCCGGGGCATCATACGCTGACCCGGACGATTCCCGGAGGGCGATTGAAGAGAATTGGCTGGCGAGGTAGGAGAAGACATCCTGGAACCTGTCTGATCTGGTATCTGCTGCGCCCGATTATCACTCATTTTATCATTCATATCATACTGCTTGAGACTATCCCAAGTGTCTCTCACGACCGCTTCTGATCCGCTGGATGTCTGTGAATGGGTATCCGAGGAAGGAGTCTGAATTGTCGCATATGCTGTATGATTTGTCGTATAGTTGCTCTTGAACATGGAAGGATTACTGAATGACTTCGGAGATAGCGGAGTCTGCGATGGACTGGCGCTGACTTGTCGGGGCGATGGGAAGTGTACGTTCGTTTGAAGAGGAGATGGCGTAGGTTTGCGGGGGGAAGCAATGGCAGCCCCGGAACGCAAAGCCTGTCCGTCAGAACGTGGGCCCAGATAGTCGCGAGGAATCAAATCGCTGGATAATGGCAATGGCGAGTGCACCGTGCTTTGGTGCTTGGTTGTAGGTAACGTGGGAAGGGGTGCAGGTAGCTGGTTGATGGTGGTACTGTCGCTACCTTGCCGCCGAGGCTGCGACATGGCTTGTTTAGGAGTCGGAGCTCACTCCACGCATGGGAGGGAGGGCGCGGAACCAAACAACGATTGGACGCTAAACGCGGACGGTTCGACTGGGGGGTTTCAGCACCAGCGGGCCAGGGGGGCCAGAGCCAACGGTTCGACGGTTCTTAGATTGAGGGAACCACAAACATACCTTCCGCACATGCGAGCCTTCGCCGTGAGGACAACACCGAGAACTGACGGCATCGGGTGATTCCCTGGGAATGTCGGGCTGGTTAAGGGAAGATGTTGGAAGAAGTTCGGTGAGTACGGCGACTCATGATTTACTGAGACTAGTTGCAAGATCTAAGCCGAGTGGGGAAGGGGCCAGGGGAACAGGGGAGAAAAAGAAGGAAAAAAAAAAGGGGGAGGGGACAGCAGAGCATAAGCAGGAAGGATCCTCCCTTCTTTCAATGAGAATGCAATTTGAGCCGAGAATACTGGTGTAGTGCAGGGAGGAGAGCTTGTAGGTTTCTATGAGGGTGAGAGCGAGGCAGAAGATTAGTAGTATCTTTTACTGTGGTGAAGAGATGATGACAGCCACCCTTCAGTATCCAGACTTGCAGACAGAGTAAACAGTCTTGCTGCATTTACAGATGCTTGGTTAAAACGGCTATGCTTTGCAAGGACAACTGATTGGTTCATATTTCCCCAGTGACATACCCTTTAGAGATAGGCGCAGAAAAAGCATATGCCGCTAGTGTTCCTGCATGAAAAGTAAAGCCCACTTTTGAGAGAAGGCCTCAAGGGCACCATACTTGTTGGATTTGCTTAGCTGCCCCGTCCATCATGCCCCGCCGCTGAAAACGAGAAGCCGAGAATAGCGTCAGAAATGGTGGACAACCCACGTCAGATGAGAAGAGAGGCATATAATAGAACATGAAAACGCCAGAACACCCTGTCTAATGCAGCCCCCTGAGGCAAAGTAAAACAAAATTCGAGGGTTGGGTAAAGATGAGATCGCTTTTCCCCCCTCCAACGCCTATATCCTGGTGAAACCAAATTACCCAGCTTAAACTCCCAGACACCCGTATGGTACAACTATACAATGCTATGCTATATTTCCGGCCATGCCCATAAAAATGGCTTGGGCAGCTAGTTGGAGTGACCAGAAGCCAACTTTCTTGAAACGTCGCTTCCGAGCTTGCTCATCAACCACATCTCGCGCAAACGCATCGTATACCTGTCCAACATTAGTATGTATCATAGATCACCGGGGCTGAGACTGGAGCTTACCGCTGCCGAAAGATCATCCATCAAGCCGCTATCCCAAGTGGTCCAACTGCCATCAAAATCTCCGAGGCGTTTGACGAGGCGACAGTTCACTGGAATGAATGTACGCCTTGAATTAATATAGGCAACAATGGGTCTAATAAGCGCATTGTTGATATATGAAAGGTCACGTGTGAAAAGAGGAACAACGGCCCTGACATTGTTCAAGTGGAGGCGGAGATCGGTGACTAGGAATCGCCGGTCATCTTCGGCAGCAGTTTCTTCTGACGAATTTATGTTGGACGTGGTCGACTCAAGGTCCAGGTTAGACGCGACTGTCGCTTCTAGCCGATCATAGAATCCGGCCATAACCTTCGCAAGGCTTTCATCATTCTCCGCGGGAAACATGATGTCGGAAACGATGTCGACCGTTCCTTCATGTATCCAAGAAAACGGGCCCTGGACTCCCCGATTTAGATGATCAATATTTAGACCATCAATGCGAATCCTGCTATGCTTCTTCCATGGACTCGGTTTACCATCTTCTTCACCTCCATTTTCCAGCTGTGCCCCGGTAAAGCCATGAGTTTGTCGAGGGTGGATTGTGAACAATGAGTTATCGTATGACCCCGACATCATATTGGCGGACATAAAGTCATAGAATAGCCACTGTTTTCTCAATTGAGGCAAATCACATGAAAAGATGCTGACAGGGAAGGGTCTGAAGTTGTCTGGCTGGTACACGGTAACCAAGACATCGCTCATCTTAAAAGAATCAATCTCGAAATCACCAGGATTGTGCTCGTGTCGATAAGATTTGGGATCAAGATCGTCATCTGACCAGTGAACATATCTGCGGTCGACTACCCCGCGAATGCCCCGTACCTCAACGTCACGAAGAAGTCCCTTACCGTTGATCCACTTCGTGAATGACAAGGTAACATTGACCGTTTCGATGGACACATCGAATTGTGTGTAGTTGGTGTCCTCTTCATCTGACACGGGCCGCTGCTCGGGCAGTTCAGGGTTGGTTTGCTCCCCGAGGGCGGCGGCGGCGACAGCAGCAGCGGTTTTCGAAGAGCCCTTACTTACATGCCCCGTTCCTTGTCCTGGTCGCCTGGAAACAAAGACGTTCTTGAACGTGATCACGCCATCTTTCCATTTCGGAACAATTGCAGACTCGAAGACGACCTTTACACCGGAAGACTTGGTGAGATAATTGCCGATCCAACCAGCCAATGTTTCTATAGAGATTAGCATCGGATTAATTTCGATGAGAACCACTTCGGGCCTACCTTGGGCGAACACGGTATTAATCGCAATGATAAGCAATGAGAAGAAAGTGGTAGTACCCAAGACTACCCAAACCACATGTCCCAGGAGCACCCATGAGAAGAGAGCGGTTATTTCATCCAGATTGAAAGGCCTGACACTTCGTATAGAAAACCACTTGAACCGGACCTTAAGTCGTGACCAGAACCCATTAGCTGCAGCCAACAATTCTTCTTTCGTAGGCCGGTGCAAGTGCGGTATATGTGGCAATCGGTCCCTGAGATGGCGGTTTAATTGCCCTTTTTGATTAAGCTCAGGTAACTGCGGCTCGGAGACCTGACTTTTATCGTTGACGGATGTCTCAGAACCTTTACTGAGCCCGTCAGGATGATGGCGGCCGTCATTATGATTTTTAGAATCCTTCCGTAACTCGGTCGTCCTCCGATCATCTGGGCTCGTATGAAGACCGCGCCTAATCGTAAGCCAGGAGACAATACCCAAGCCCTTTCTTCCCGGTGTAGAGATCCTATGCGGCATCAAACCCTCTAGAGGGATGGCGTATGTTGCCCTGGCTGCAGTGTGATCGGAGGCGCCATGTACAAAGCCTGCGGTAGCAAATCCTCTGATAGGTCGTGTCGGTTTTCGTGAAAGTGAGCTATGTCCTTTCGCAATATGTAAATTGCAAAAGCCAGCTCTGAGGTCTTCTGTATTTCGTTTATATGATAGGCACGATACGCGCCTTTCTCGCAATCCATATCCAAATATTGATTCCGTTGTTCCCCATAAGTTGGTGTACAACCTGCGCCCGAGATAGCCAGACATGATTGCCGTCACATGCTGGACAATCTGGGAAGGCAGGTAAGCAGTGGAGAATCCTCTCTGGTATTAATCAGAAAGCTGCAAAACAAGCCAAGCTATTAGATGTATAGCTGGGATGACAGGTGCATGCGTCTCAATCACCGGGCAGAAGCACGGTGCTATCTAACCAGGCGGACCGCGAATAAATTTCCATGAAATCATCCCGCCTCAACAGGAGCGGGTCCTGTTTGTAATGTTTGCATCGAAAATTCACAAATTCACACTATAACCACACATCTTTTCCATGGACCGTAAAATCTGTGATAACGGACTCCGACTCTGATTTACAGCCTAAACCGTCGAGTATTCAGATCCCACTCACAGAAGCATGCCTGCACCCACAGCTTTACGGCAAAATGCCGAAGTAGAAATGACAGAGACGCTTGTTGCGCCTACTATGTCAGGTCAGTCCCCGCCAACGCTTTACGGGAGCCCGACCGAGTGGCCATTCTAACGTCTTCCAGAGCAAGATGAGGAAATCTTGATCGACGCCCAAACGTCGGCAGATCAGGTCTCTGCAGGACTCGCACCTGAGATTGAGCCCACTCAAGACAGCGATATGCGTATCGACGAAGAGGGACGGCCCCTCTTCACGCCAGCCAAAGACACTAGCAGGGTATATCGAGTTGAAAGCAGGAAGGTTCCTGTACCGCCGCATAGGATGACTCCATTGAAGGCTAGCTGGGCACGCATCTATCCCCCGCTTGTCGAACATCTCAAACTTCAAGTGCGCATGAACATCAAGAATCGAGCTGTGGAACTACGTACGTCACGATTCACGACCGATACGGAAGCCCTGCAGAAGGGCGAGGATTTCGTCAAAGCTTTTACTCTTGGATTCGATGTCGACGACGCTATTGCACTTCTCAGGTTGGATGATCTTTACATACGTTCATTTGAGATTCGGGATATCAAAGCCCTCAACGGAGAGCACCTTAGTCGTGCAATTGGACGTTGTGCTGGCAAAGATGGGCGAACAAAGTTTGCGATAGAGAACGCTACTCGGACAAGAATCGTCATTGCAGACCAGAAAATTCACCTGCTAGGCGCAGTGAAGAATGTCGACTGTGCCCAACAGGCCATTGTTAGCTTGATTCTTGGCAGTCCACCGGTCAGTAACCTTGTGACGATCCTGTCAATTGCCGTCTCAGATGATGCAACGGCTGCTAACTCCTCAACAGGGCAAAGTGTATGGGAACCTTCGTAAGGTGGCTTCTCGCATGAAGGAGCGTTTTTAGGGGGAAAAAAACCAACCGTCAGCATCATGGGAACTACGGCCTCTGCCTCTACCAGAGTTTTGTTTCTTTTCTCTTTCTTCTTATGACATGGTATCGGCGTTAGGGGTTGTGGCATATGATCTGGATAGAGTATAATGGATATGACGACACAGAAACGAGGGAAGGAATACTTCACTGGATATTTTATCTATTCATATTCAGAAAATCATCGCAAGAGTATAACACTAAACTAGGCTGGTGAAGCATTGATTAAAATGGGCCCCGGTATGCCTAATCCTTCTTCAACGGATAATAAATCTCCTCCACTCCACTCCTGGTAATAACCATCATCTGCAAGCCATCTCCGACCTCAATATGTCTTTCGACGGCGCTAGTGAATGCATCTCGCACCAGCTGCTCAACAGTATCTCTTGGTAGTGGTTCCGCTTTCTTGGGCTCAAGGGCATGCCCTTCCCCGCTACCCGGAATATATTGGTTTTTGAAGTTGACCTGGTTGTCCAGGAACGGCATGATCAGACTTGCTGCAGACCCTGCAGCCCTGCATTGCTCTCTCTCGTACGAGCCAACCGGATCGTAGCTGTACAAGGCACCCTTACCATCCTCGTCCAAGCCCGCTAAAATAGCATGCACATAGTAGGGAAAGAACCGTTTCTGGTAAAGAATTGTTGACAAGCGTTGGGCACAGGCTCTCACGGACATGGGCTTTCCGTGTTGGTATTTGTACATCTTCACCACTGCATCTAGTCGCTCTTTGAGGGCCTGGCCATCTGCTGCGAAGCCCACGACTGACAAGACGATGTTGGCACCTTCGCCAGACTCGTCATCACCGCCAATTTTGAACACCTTGGGAACATAACGAGAGTTAATGTTGTATCCTGCAACGGATCGAGTATCTCCAGCCAGGATCGCGAAATCGGAGCCAGTAATGCCTAAGGTAGAGCCGCCGTTATCCGTATAGCTGCCGTTGTAAGTTAGCTTAATACCTATGATACAGTGAAGACAGTGATACATACGGATAGAAAGAGTGCTCTCGGTGCGGAGCACTGTTCGCATTGGAGAAGGAGTATCCGATGGCCTCGCTAAGAGGGTTGCCGGCAAGAGTCGTCATTCTTCGTAGAGTTCGGATGTGTAGATAGTATCAATTAGGATGAAGCGATGAAGGTTTTGTTATACTCTGGTCGTCTAATGACTGTGGATGTAGCGGAGGGTGTTCGTTATGTAGGGAGTTGCAGAAGTGAATAGTAGTAGGACCTCTAGCTGAGCTGTTGCTGAGCATCTGACGCGGTGTTGTAGCTGCCTTCTGCTTATATAATCACGCACAGCTTCCGTCATGGTCTGGGAGCAATTGTTACCGCGGAGTGAACTGCCGTCTCCAGTTTATCTAAAGAATTAGCGTTGTCTTATTTGAGTCTAATGTCCAACTCCTACGCCTCCTCATAATTTATTTTCTCACACGAGCGCTTTATCTTTGAAGCTCAATTGGCTTATCCGAAAGCCGGAACACACCAGGAACTGACGCCCAGTTATAATGCTTGGCTTAGGAGCGTATGAAAGCAGCAGTGACGAAGAGGTGGAAAATAATTTGCCCTCAGTACAATCGAAGGTAATTGGAGCATTATGCTGTGTTATCGGCCTTTACTAATATGAACCCGGCAGAAGATCGCAAGCCAGCAAGCGCAGCCACAGGAAGTGACAAAAGCTACAGGTGATTGGAGATATAACCTACTTGTCTCTGAATCTAGTGGGACTTATTTAACATGTTACCAAAGCAGAAACCGCCAATGAAGCCACACCATCAAAAGAGATACCTGTTCCAAACACCGACAGGCCTGTTCTTGGGCCGACGCATGAAGGCTCACAAAATCCGCAAGAGCAACCAGCCGAACATTCACAAGTCTTCTCAGCGGACCGAACATTGATCCATGACCTAACACTTCCTCCGATACCAAATCTAGACATCCCACCATCTCCCCCTGGCTCTCCTAACCCTGCAGCAAATGCCAAATTCGCACACTTCTTGACCCTAAAGAAACAGGGCATGCATTTTAACGAAAAGCTCGCCGGGTCTACATCCCTCAAAAACCCCAGTTTACTGAAGAAGATGATGGACCATGCCGGCATTGATGAACAAGCACAATATCACACATCTTTACCACCTGAAATATGGAACATCAGCGATCTGCCAAGTTGGGGGTATAAAGAGGAGCTTTTAAAAGCGCAGAGGGAAATTCAAAATAGGGCTGAAGAAAAGAAGTCCGCAGGACAGAGGGATGCTATCAACTTTGTGGCTGCCACGCCTAGCGAGTTCTCCCGTGCAGGCCCTATTGCTAGCTCAAGGCCAAAACAAAGGTAATATACGATGGATAGTTCAGAGCGCAATTGTCACTGTCAATGACGGCCGGGACATTATGACCAGGCGTACAATGCTTGGGAAGCAAAGAAAGGCCCTCCGATCCCAATGCCTATGATAGGAGGCCACTTTGTGAAAGGAAAGTTATCTGCTGATGATAGACTTCCTCTCACGAAATGACTATACAACGTCTATTTCTAGGGTCAAATAACCGAAAACGTAGCAATAGTGAGATACCCGTTACGTGCAGGGACGACCCTTTCTTACTGCAGTAGTAGGAGGGACACTGTCATCTTTAAAGGGGCCAATCTCCAAAAATCCTTCCTCCGCCCCTCAAAAAGGCATCTCATCCAATTAGTTGGAATTTGAAAATAAGTAAGACGCAATTAAAATATCTATGATCATTTCACGTTTCTCTTGTAGGGACTATTGTTAGGCTATACTTGGCAGTATCTAATTTTCGCTAAGCGCGTGTGTTGGCCTCCGATAGGCGCGGCGGGAGGTGATAGCATTGCTCACGTAACATGAGCTCCGTCAGCTCTACTGCCTACCGACCCGACCCCAGAACAGCGTCGATATCATCACAAGCTACTATTTCCTTCTCAAGCATCACTTTGAACTTCCACATCAAAACCACATTTTCCGGTATACCCAGTGAAAACATATACAATCATCCATTCTAATATCGTTCCAATCGCCCATCATGAATCACTTTCCCGAAGCTTGGGGTCGCGTAAGAGCATCATCGCATTAGATTCTTGATGTCGCTAACAAAGTGCTGAAAGCCTAGGGATGACGTTTACGGACCCTACAACGCCTCATACCTCCAGACAACTGGCCCGAAAACCCACACTCAGTCACCTGCTGTGACTGGTACGTCGGTAGTGGCAGTCAAGTTCAACGGCGGAGTTGCCATTGCTGCCGATAACCTAGGTATAGCTGAGAAACATATTGGAGAGTACTTTGGCTGACGGCCAATCTTTCATATAGCATCATACGGGTCCCTTGCCCGCTTCACCGACGTGAAACGACTTCGCAAGTTTGGCGATTCTGCCATCATCGGATTCAGTGGCGACGTTTCGGATATGCAGTATATCGACCGACTACTGGAGTCCATCGACATCAGAGAGAATTACTCTACCCACGGAAACACGTTGAACGCCAAGAATCTTCATACTTATTTGTCGAAAGTCTTCTACAAGCGCCGTTCTGAGTTCAACCCCCTCTGGAACCACGTCTTGGTGGCCGGGTTCGATGGAGACAAGAAGCCATTCCTCAGCTCAGCGGATCTGCTGGGAACCACCTTCTCGGCTCCGCATCTCGCGACCGGCTTTGGTGCCCATCTTGCCGTCCCAATCCTTCGCCGGCTGTTCCCAGAGGAAAGGCCTATTGAGTCAATCACCAAGGATGAGGCCGTGGCGGCGCTAAGGGAATGTATCAAGGTTCTCTGGTACCGTGATGCGCGGAGTCTGGACAAGTACTCCTTAGCTGTTATTACTGAGGAGGGAGTTGAGATCCAGGAGGACCAGCAAGTTGAAGCCCAGAGCTGGGCATTCGCCGAGACCATCAAGGGATATGGGGCTCAGGTTAACTAGGATATGGCTTTGATTACATGCTTGTGCCACTTGAGTAATAGAACAAATCCAACAAAGTACGTATGGTGAAGTCACTGCGAACGTGTCTTGGTTGTAGGGCGCTATATATATGAAGATGCACAAAATAGTAGTCGTGATGGTTGGTGATCGGGATGCCACATCGTTCAAGGGACTCCTGACGGTCCTTGTTACACCCGATAAGCCCCGCGCCACCTGTTCCTTTCATTATTGATTCAGAGCTTAGAAGAGGGCTTGTCGAAGACAACGCGATTTAGGCATGATCCGACACCCTCAAGAGAAACCTCAACTAAATCACCATCCTTGAGCCAGAGCGCCGGCTTTCGACCCATACCAACACCTTGGGGTCTGAAGAAGTCAGCCTTGTGCATGATAAGTGCGAAAGGAGCAAATAAGTGCTAACTTACGTTCCTGTAAAGATTACATCCCCGGGCAACAAGGTGGTACCCTGAGATAAGAACGACACTGTCTTGGCCACCTTGAAGATCATATCCTTGGTGGATGATGATTGGACCGTCTGGCCATTCAGTTTTGTCGAGATCTGCAAGTTGTTGGGATCAGGGATTAGCTTCGAAGATACAATACCTGGTCCAAAGGGCGCCCATCCGTCGAAGCCCTTGCCCAGCCCCCATTGCCCTCCACCATGCTTCAACTGCCATTCACGATGAGAGACATCGTTTCCAACGGCATAACCCAAAACATAGTCCAGAGCCTGGCTCTCGGGCACATTCTTAGCTTCCTTGCCGATAACGACAACCAATTCACACTCATAGTCTAGACCCTCACCCTGCTGGGCCATGCGGGATACTGGGACGTCATCTGTAGGCCCCGTAACAGAGGTGACGGGCTTGTAGAAGAGAACTGGAAATTTGGGCAAGGGTAGGTTTGATTCTATGGCGTGTTGTTCATAATTGAGTCCCAGACAACGCACGGTCCCAATGTCCTTTCTTGCCAACGGCGCCAGGAGCATTTTGATATCAGCAATCTGGTCCGTGACTTGGTGCTGTCCGAAAATGTCGCCCCGGATAACCCGTGCTCTCGTGGCTTGGGCAATGTCGCTCACGCCTGCTGACAATAGGGCGTCTCCATAATAAGTCTGGCCGTCCTTGGCCAAGAAACGAACCAGACGCTGTGCCATGAGACACAATATCAGTTCTTGAAAGAAGGAGTGGGCCAATGGAAAGGATATGGACTCACGGAAAAGGTGGCCATATCGATCAAAGGTGCTAATAGTAGTAGATAGTGATGATACCCGGTGTATATAGTAGTAGTCGGATAAAGTATATCAAGAGTAAATGAAGTTTAGTAGTATGATGAATAACAGCTGGAGTCTAACTAGGAGGTGATATAAATCTGTATTTCAAGACCAAGAGTGAGTTTGGTCTGACGAAGCTCCCACCAGCACTTCTTATCCCGATAGCTGACTAGTTACTAATGTTAGTACGGGAAATAGTTAGATAACGAAGAGGGGGTTTCTCCAGCTCCTCGGCTCCAGGATTCTCGGCCGGAAGGGGAAAGCAGCTCGGCTACTACGTATGGGGTAAGCGGATCGGCAGCCCCCGGGGAAAAAGCCGAACAAGCTACCAGTAAGCATGCTCTGCATTTCCGAACTTCTGAACTCTTCAGTCCGGTGATTCAGCCATACCACTACTAGCACTCGCAATTTCCCCCAGCTTGCAACGACTATATAGATCCAATGGCTCGGCTGTCAGGTCTCCAAAGACAGGTGCTGTCTCTGTATCGGACATGCTTGAGAGAAGCCGGGAAGAAACCCATTGTAAGCAAACACCTCGTCGCGCTGTCAAGGTTTTGTTTCACTGGCTAGCCAACGAACTTGGGCTGATTTAGTTCTGCTACTTCATATACGGTAACTAGGAGACGAGAGAAAATTTCAGAGCATATGCTAGGTGCGTTCCTTAGTCGGGGTTCTTAATCGAAGAAATTGGTCTCCTGGTATGCTCGCTCTACAGTGTGCTAATCTTGAAACAGGGCCGAATTTCGAAAGAACTCCTCTGTTAGCAAGAAGGATTTCGGTGCGATAGAGTATCTACTACGGAAGGGGCAGAGGCAGCTTGAGATGTACTCATCCCCCGGGATTCGCAATATCCGGTGATTTCAATATCCTGTCGCTTGCGGGGCAGCCCCAGAAATTCAAAAAAAAAAAAACGACCCTCCTCCTTTGGATGTAGGTGAATGGCCCAGTAAACGAAATATAGCATGGCTTTTTGCTCCCTATGATGCAACTTTTGGAGGCTCACTTCCTAGGGATGGACTCTTATGTCACGTGATTGCGGAAGATTCGCGCGGGTTCTCGAACCGTAAGCCGCTTATCTTATCGGGTCGGTGACGGAAGGCTCCAGATGCATCTGGTGTCATCTCGCTCCATCGCTGTCGCTCCCAGCATCTGCCAGAACGCTCGGCTCGCTTCTGTATGACAGAGAAAGTTGGATGATGGCGTTTTCTAGAAATCCTCTGGTCAGGAATATAAGGATGGGATCTAACCAGCCTAACATGTTTGTCTGTACTCAGAATCAATCCAATCTCATCACAAGATAAATCAGAGACATTCATATCCTCTTTATCAACGATCCAAAACCGCAGCTATCTCCTTCAAGATCATTAGCTTTCATCAAACACCCTTGACATTCTCAAACAAATCACAAACAATGGCTTACTTCCCTCGATTTGCCGGTGACTTCGCACCCTTGTTCCAACTTCTGGACGATTATGATGTCCACCGGTCTAGCCGCCCCAAGAACAGGAAGGCCACACCCGTCCGCTCATTCACACCAAAATTTGACGTCTATGAGGTGAACGACGTATATCACTTGGAAGGCGAACTTCCTGGGGCCGAGCCGAGCAACATTGAAATCGAATTCTCTGATCCACACACCCTGGTCATCAAAGGTCGCGTGGAGAAGAATGAAGTGGGCACCCCTCAGACAGCGGGTCAAACATCGCCGACAAAGTCACACCAGCCGACAGTTGAGGATGACGATGAAGACGAAGACAACAAATCAACCAAGTCCTCGGATAGCCACCCCACGCAGCTGGTCTCACAGAAACAAACCGAGCCAACCTCCAAGTACTGGGTTTCCGAACGCCAGACTGGCGAATTCTACCGCACATTCACCTTCCCGACGAGAGTGCATCAAGATGCAGTCAAGGCCAACCTGACAAATGGAATCTTGTCGCTACAGATCCCGAAGGAGCCTGCCCCTCAGGTCAAGAAGATCCGCCTCGAGTAAAGCGATCGATAATTGTCGTCTCGGATTTTTCTTAGCATTGGTTTCCACTCTGCGACATTTCTGTTTACTTCTTGACTTACCTACCATGGCCATACGATCTTCTGCCAGTTCACGCAATGATATGAATGTTTCTGCACCTGCATTATGATGGGGTTCTGTGGGCCAGGAGTACATTGGAATGATTGTTCATTTTCTGCATGTATTATACTAAGTTATCATGCGATGACAAATAATGAATATTGAATTTTCTTACATATGCTCCTCGTAGAATACGAGTATGAACGAAAGATACCGACTGACAGCATCACCCACGACAGAGATTTTGTAGACATGTCCGATTCATCATCTTGATCTCTACTTACTGTAAATACTACTACCTATGTCTATTACCACGGCCAGTACTATCACTAATTGAGTTTGCAAGCGCTATCATCCAAGTTACTAGACACCTCGCACAATAATCCAGCGAAAGCACATCATCCATGCACGAGGCATACATAAGTATGTACCGAAGACATCAGATATCAGATCCATAGGTCAAAATGGCATACCACTAAATCCACGAACTAGTCTTTCCGTAACTTTAAATTGAAAGTACCCTGGACAATACTCCGTAACTATGCAAAACTGCAGTCAAAATAAAACCTACATATTACAAGTAATGTGAGATAAGACCGAAGAAAAGAAGATTTTAACCCTTGCGTTGAGCGTCTTCCCAAGCACATGTGGTTGCTTCAAGTATTTTGCTTCAATATTATGCATGCAAGATGCAAGCTCCCCACCCGTGGGTACTATGGATTGAAAATCATTGCCGACTGTGGGGGGGGTAGTGTCTGCGGCTCCACGATTTCCACAGTAGTTACTCCATACTAGATAGATAGTTAATTTGGAGGGAAAACTTTGTGTGTACGATTAGCTAATATGTACTACACGTAACTAGTTAGCTGCTGGAATTCTCGAAACTAAGTTCTCAGATAACTCACTAGTAGCATGTTTGTTAGTCAAGGTCTGGATACATCTATCAGATGTGTAACATCTTCTTTGGAACTGCTTGCTTACAAGTAAGAAGATAGTTACTTACCTACTCCCTGTATGCATGCAGCTTTCGATCGGGTTGGGTTCGACATATGCCAGGTGGTCTCGGTCGTTTGGGCGTCTTCCGCCTTGGATTGCGCGCTTGATTGTAAGCATGCCCGATCCTTTGGATCACAAGGTAAGACTAGCCAGCCTAGCTAACTGGGTATGAATGCACGGACACCGCCAGATCTTACTTGACTCAGTCCCCATTTATTGATGATGATGATGGAGAAGGGGTCTCACCGCTACATTTGCTGTTTCGGACTGTTGGGCTAGATGGCAGCTTATCGCGGCTATGTAATACTACTTGGCGCTGATGAAGTGTTCACACGATACAGGAAGCCCGCAAAGCGGGGATAGATTGATGAGTATACGTCGCTTTTCTCCTTGTCCACTCCAAGATATGTACAAGCGGAGGGAAGGATCCAATATAGTTAATCAATCAAATGTCAAACAATAAACACGAACAAAAAAATGGAAACGCCTAGACTTTCCCGCGCCAGTCGAACTCTGATATAGTACTATATAGATGAAGCACAAACAATCATCCAGGTTACCAAATGGGTATTTGTAAAGCAGTGGAAACGAATGAATAAAAGAACCAAGACCAAGTTGGCGCCGTAAAGGAGACATCCCCCCGTTAGACTTCAAAGTGGAAACCCCGGCACCGAAGCAGAAGACTAATCGGAAAAGAAACATTTCGAAAGGGAATGGTGGCATATCATGCAGGTGTAAGGATGCTGCCAAATAGTGACGCACAAGTGAATGAGAAAGCTGGAAAAAGCCATTGCATCAACGAAAGATAGTTGGTGAAGCGGCCTTGTAAAGATCTGGATGTTTAGCATGCCTCGTCAGCCTCTTCCGCTGACTTTCAATACTTCGGCTCCTAGTTCTTCCTCTGAACTGTCCAGATACCGGTCTGCCTGTATCCAAGCCTTTCACGCTCTCTGGGACTGGCACGTGAAGTGCATCAATATTTGGCATTGGTAGCCACGCAGTGCTCATCGTGCTGCTGCTACCCGGCACATCGTGCTCCGTCACTGTAGTCATGGGCTGTTTCCAGCTTTTCTCCGATGAAGCTAAGAATGCTCCGACATGCTCCCATTGGGGGTATTGATGAGGTATAGCATCCGCAGAGGCAACTGACAGGCCAGGAGAGGCATTATCGAGGCTCCTCAATTGGTGGCAATATTGAGAGTAGGGCATTGTATGCCGATATTCCGGAGGAGTCGCGAATGAACTGCTCCTCAGGCGCGGTTTGGGGGGCATCGGTCGGAGGTCATGACACATTGACCATCTGTGGGACGGCCAGCCATAGCTGTCAACTCTGGGCCTTGCCCATGGACCCTGAAGGCTTGAATGACGGTGTACCGAGGGCTCGTAGCCAAGTTCTGGGCTGTTCCTGGCATCCAGAAGCCCGTGGTCCCTTGAATTACCATTGAATGTGAATCTGCGGGCCACTGCAGGTTGGTGTGTGGATGTGCGAGAATCAGTCGATCGTCTAGTGGAACGAACGGAGGCTGCAGAACTGTATCCGCTGTCAACCGTTCCATGAGCACCTTGAAGTTCTCGATGCCCCTGGTCTCGGAAGGAACGCTCAAGCTGGCGGACAAACCATTTCTCCTCATCGGCGACAGAGATACCTTCATCTTCTGTTTCACTACCACGAAGTTTGTACGGTGTTGAGGTTGCTGGAGATCTCTCGAAAGAAAATGGACTTGCAGGGTGATCGTCAGGCTTTCCCACTTCAGTAGGTGGAATCTGTAACTTTGGAACACGGGCAGTATCGTTACATGGAACCGGAGCATAGTCTTGGATGTTTGAGATATCAAAGCTGGTTAGATCAACTTTTTCAAGTGCGCTGTCCCGGACGATCTCAGCTTTCCGGGATTGCTCAACTGCACTCTCAGAGGCATAGTCCTGGATGTTCGATAGATCAAAGCTGGTTAGATCCACTTCATGTCCGCTATCTTGCACAATCTCAGCATTGTGGGATTGCTCGTCTGCACTTTCAGAAGCTAACTGCGGCTTCTGATCCATATGGTATGGCACCTTGTGGGTATACTGCTGGGGCTCTCCCGGCTTCGTATCAAGCGTGTGAATGCCAGTAGGTTCAGGATTCGGGCTGTTGGGACGGTTCAATCGAGTCCTGTCACTGGGGCATGGAGATGCAGAACCATTTACCACGCGCAATGATCCTAACTTGAGAGCCCCTAAATGAGTATATTCGAACTCATTGGGTGTTGCTGGACGGAACCGGGTAACCGGACTAGGTGATCCAGCAGCATCTTCGTAACCGGATGGTAACGGCCTTGGAAATGCAGATGTCTCGTTCAAATAGTTGAGTGACATCGTGGGTTCCCGTACAACTGGTGATGACAATCTTCGGGCTGTATCTCTTGCTGGCCTTCTTGTTGCGATCCCGGGCCGTGTTAGCAGCGATCGTCGACGGATGAGAGAAAATCCTTGGCTGTCTACCCTGAATAGTGTATTAGAAGACGTTGCCTCTTCGATTGTACTATGATGCATAGTACTTTGCGCCCTCTGAGGTGTGGTATGCGCAGAATACGCCCGTCTTGGTCGCGGTGGCCGTTCCATCAATGGTTGTGCTCGACTTGGGAGAGTTGTTGCCTGAAAGCTATTGTGTCTGGAAGAACGGCGAGAGACTTGACCGCTCATAACGGGATCTGGCATAGGAACGGTAGGAACGGGCGAGTACAGACTAAAATCATCTGGCTCTTTGACCATAGACTGGCATTTCCGGGCCCTGCTGAGAGTGGGCCATGGCTCCCCAGGTCGATAGGAGGCAGATGGAAGAGACTGCGACCTCCTTGTGCATACATCAGGCTCAGGGGCCTTGAGGGAGATGGAAGTTCCGGTCCAAGGGTCTTGCCAAGCAGTACAAGCAGGGCATTCTATAGGAGAGCTGGTGCCGGAAGTTTGACGAGATGCGCGGAAGCTGTTTGAAGCTAGCGTTGCCCTATTCGGAGGCGGTTTTGAGAGCCGATTGGTGCGGCGACGCTTTTCTTTGCTCTGTACTGAAAGGTAGCCTCCCATGGCTTCCTTCTTGAGTGAAAACCGGAGTGAAGGTTTCAGAAGAACCTGATCCTCTCACCTAAAGGTGCGAGGCCGACATGGGCAGGCCGCAACGTCAAACAATTCAACAAATGGCGTCCAGTGGCTGATAAACAAGTTCACTTCAGGGTTTAATCCGGTAATGCCATAACAGTGGTCAATCCCGCAGAAGAAACTTGGGTACCAACGAGGCTGGATGCACCAGGCTCCTCCTGCCTATGAGGTAGATAGGCCGAGGGAAGGTTTCAAAAACTTTCGACGACGTCAACCCCGGGTTGATTTGAAAGACTTAGTAGAACACGCAGAGGAAACAAGAAGAAGATCTTGGACGGGACTGGTTCGAGCTTTCGCCCGAAGCGCTGGACTTGCGACGCCTCAAGCTGGTAAAGAACCAGAAGAGCGTATTTAGATGATGGGGCAAAAAAGCAACGATGGCCGACTATATAGGTAGCGAGAGGGAAGCGCTACCCAAAACGAAAAGACAGGACAATGAACTGTTGTAATAAAAAGGAAATACAGCACGGGCGGAATCAGCCACGTCCAACTAATGGTATTCCTCCCTCCTGATTTGTTTTATACGACAGATAGGCAGACAAAATGGAGATGTCAGGAGAAGAGGTACTGAAAGAGTAGTAGTGGACGGTGGAAGACGACGAAACCAGGAGTAGTGGAGGATATATTATGCAATAGTAGAACAAAGGAGGTACAAGAAGGGGAAAAAAAGAATATTATCAGATTACCGCAATCCCTGGTCGGCCAGATAAAGATGGGAACAAAAAGGAATAAAATAAAAAGAAGATAATAAAAAAGAAAAGAGATCAAAACCAAATCAAGAATAAAAATCAAAAACACGGGGTTGAATGGGATGAAGCGGATGGAAAAGAAAGATCGATTAAGAATCGTAGCTGGGGTAAGTAAGGGAAATCAGATACATAAGTGGAGTGGAGATGGACTGGGCTGCCATGGTTGAGGATGCACGAAAGACACCAGAGTGACGAATGCGTTTATCCACAGGCAACTGTAGCTCTCACGGACAACGGAATGGGGAACGAGATAATGGATCGGCAGGTTGCAGACGGTCGGAAAAGGGAACCAGCTTCTGACAAGATCATTGTGTAAGAGCGAGAGACCGTGTGTGTGGATGTGGATGTGGATGTAGATGTGGATAAGGGTGTCAGAGTAAATGGAGCTAAGAAAGAGCAAACACACCCGGACATTATTCACCAGCCAGCCAAGGTACCATCCACTTTTTTTTTTTTACCCTCTTCGACAATAAGAATTGGAGAAGGATGTGGATGGAGCCATGGGAATGGACGGTCAAGTCAGCCTTGGACTGGCGTGGCCATTTCAGAACTCAGACTTTCGGACACAACGCCATCCCTGAAAGCGGACAAGTCAAAGCAAGAATTGCACCGGCGATGCCCGCTAGAAGCACCCAAGAAAAAAAATATTAATTAACAAAACTAAAATATTAACCATACCTAATACTAAAAAGAAGGCAAGAAAGGGAAACGAATGAATGCATGAGGAGGGAGGGGTATCAAGGGTATCATTTTATTCCGTAGTAACTAAAATCAGTAATTTTGTTTACTACTGTAGATTGTTAATTCAATTGTCTACTTTCGTTGAGCTATTGTTTCATTCCGTACATAGGTCGATTGATTATTCTTTTCCTCATGATTATCATTCACGGATTATGATCATACCATGCATCGTCGGATGTTTGTCTGATGTGTCTGCAGTTATCTAGTTAGTTATTAGCTATTTAGCAGCTAGTTTAGCTGTACTTCTATCTACTTACTTAGTATCTCATCGCTATCCCTTAGGGGGACTGGCAGAAGCTCTCCCTAGTCCCTACCAGTTATGGATTAAACAATTTTTCTTAGTTCGACCCTCATTAGGATCGCATTTGGATCGCCAGGACCATCGTCTGTTTTAGCTCCAGCCGTGGATCCCTCCAGGGGTGGAAAGCTTGATGACGATGGAGCCTTGATTGGTGCTGGGCTGGCCGCAAGCAGAACTAGGCGACTAGTTCTTCCTTCCGGACCTTGGTCAGTGAAAGTAGTCAGGATGTTACGGAGGAGAATGCTGTTCCCGCCTCTCCGAGTTATGGATCCTTGGTTCTTGACCACTACCACCACCACCTCCTCCTCCTCCTCCTCCTCCTCCTCCACCTACGGGATAGAAGAAGCTGAAAGAATCGATCGCATCCCGTCTTTGGTTAATAATATCTAATGTATTCTACTCCGTACGTCCCGATGCTATCCTCGAGTACTCCGTACTTCCCATTCAATCGCACAAGTAACCTACTCCGGACATGTGTACTTTTTTGACTTTGGACTACTTGAGCATTTTACTATACTACTATACTACTACCATTAGCCACCGCCACCACTACCACCATAGCCTCCTATTGAACAACTGGATCGTAAGTTAGTCTGCACGCAGTACTTCGGTACTACTGCTGTTGTTAACTGACTAGTTAGTTAATTTACTAGTTAAATTAGTTGTTCGGCTCTAGTTTAGTCATGTCGGTATTTTAGCGTCGTTTAGATTGTTCTGCCTAGTTTCCACCGCTTCCCCGCCCCGCCCTCCGTCTGTCAATCCGTGTTCATTCAGTCAGTCTCATGAAGTAGGAGTACGTATACTACAGTAGTAGTAAAGGGAGATGGCTGGGGGAAGTAAGAGTAGTATCATGATTATGCGGTTCTAGTAGGACCTGTCTGTCAGCATCGACAGCACCGACATCAGCTCCAACACCCCCCCCGCACTGTCCATCTTCCGGATTGATCTCTCTTCTCAACATTCAAATTTACCCTTTTCATTATCGGTGTATCATAGATGGGTCAAAGATTCAGAGATAGAAACCCCTTCGAGTCAGGTCATCTCCGATTGAGTCCTTCTTGGTTCCATGGTTCCATCTTTTACTGCCTTGGAAACCTTTCCCGTTCCGGCGCTCGGCTCGCTCCCTCCTGGTCGGGTCATCCGAAAGCTCCAGCTAGACACTACTTTCTCGTTAGATGTCCCGCCCGCAGCTGCGACGTAAAAAAAAAAATCAGAAAAGAAAGAAAGGAAAAGAAAAAAAAAATTACTGCAAGCAACAGGAGAGGGTCTCCAACCCGAGAACGGACTGGTTAGTCAACCCACATCCCTCACGAACTGGATCGCTGTCCTCTGGGGCGTACAGAACCAGTGTTTCTGCAACGCAGACGCTTCTGCAGCGCTTGTCTGTCGGTCAGTGGTCGGATTACACCGCGTCTTTACCAGTCGTATGGCGTCTTCTCTTTCCAGTCGACCGACCTTATCGGGGTTCCCTTTGCTCACTGCCGAGGAATTTGAAACTGCCTGTCACGCCTTTCTAGATCGGATTCACGTGGTGGATGATACCAAGGTGGGATGGTCCTCCATCCGTCTCGATCAGCGGGTAAGTTAGTTGCCTCGCTTCATGTCGTTCGACTTTGTTCCACCCTCCTTCTCTTGTTGCCTGTCGCTTGCGGGAAAGTATCCTTGAAATCTGCGTGACAGAGATTCGAACATTGGTTAGGAAGATGGACCTGAACTATACACTTCAGTCCTTTCTCCTCCCCTTTCTTTCTTTTTTACCTCTTTTCTTCACCCCTCCCCCCTACTACTCCCCACTCTCAGCTAAATTCATTAGGCAACCGGGCCCATCTTGAGTATTGCAAGGGATATCGGTCATGTGGGTACTCGTGATCGCGACGAGCCCCTCCCGGACCCAGAGATGATCGAAGAACTACAGTGGGAGGCCTCGGAAGAAGATCCCGTCCGTCGAACTGGAACCCTTTCCATTGCGCTCTCTCCATTCTACGAGCATAGTCTAACATCAAACAGGAAGCTCTCATTCGTGCGCCCGAGACGAGTGTCCGTTTACAGGTAATCTATTATATTCTGCTTTCTCCCACGTACCACGTCCCTGTCTTGTATTTCCAATTACGGCAGGACAACCATCCGGGGCCGTTGGGAATTGACGCGGTCTACCAACACCTGGTACCGGAACAATACAGAAAGGAACTCCAGAGCATTGGCATCATGGGTGGTATTAGTTTTGGCGTATGTGCAAGATCTCGAATCCCTAGCCCAAGCTGGAGCTTATGCTTCGTAGTATCATCCAGACTCCGGAACTCCAGCGTTTTTCGTTCATCCATGCCAAACAACGGATGCGATGAGGCACATTGCAGGACAGCTCTGTCTCACTCCCGAGACTTATCTCATGATTTGGCTCGGGTTGGTGGGTAACCGTCTCGGTCTTCAGCTGCCCAAGGAACTCTTCACAGTCGAAGGCATGAAGACATTCCAAGGCACTGCGTCACACAGTTTAGATTGATCCAGAGTACTTCCTCCCCTCTCAGGTTGGATCCCCCTGGCCTGGCCAACGTATTCCCGGTACATAAGCGAAGCAATTAATCTTCATCCGATGAAGCTTCCATTGGCACATCACTGTCCTCGTCCATAGGGGCTTCCTCTTCGTCGCTCTCCTCCTCACGAGGCCGTTTGACACCTTGGCCTGCTTGAGCTTCTCCATTGACTTCTCCGCTGGGCTTCGACGGCAAAGCCGCCGATCCTGGGGGCCCGCTAAAAATCGATTTCTGGAGCTCTGTGGATGCTCCCGTGGTTTGACCGGCAGATGTTGTAGTGGGCACATTATACGTTCCGCGCAGCCGGGCAATGACGTCCGAGGGACCTTTAGCATACACAATTTTCTATATTCCCGAGTCAATGAGCGAGGAACAACCGCACTGCACTATGCAAAAACATACCATTTGTTTGCCGAAGAACTCAAAGCCCTGGAGGGCCCGCATAGCCTGTGTGCTAGCCTGGACATCTTTAAAAACAATATGGGCCTGACCGCGCATCTTTTGGGTCTTCATGGCGACAACATCGAGAACGGTGCCGTAGGTTGAAAAAAGCATATAGAGGGATAACCGTAGGTCATGCTTGCGCAGCTTGTCTGGGAGATTGGTACAATACAAACTACAAAATTGGATCAGTCAGGGTGCCCGTATTAGATTTAGGAAGTAGTATCCAAGACTTACGTTTGGTTAGGTAGTCCGGTGGCTGAAGCGGGTTTACCTTGACCACCACCGCGCGTTGGAATTACTCTGGTTGCCATCACTGCAGAGCGACAAAGAAGACCCGAGGGGAAAATAGAGCAGCTTCCCAACAATACCTCGAGCAAAAGACCGAAAAGAACACCCCGTCCAGGGAAGGAAGCCAATGGAAAGTGAAACCCGAAGATAGCACAGCTTGTGATGCGAATGAAGTTGAACCTGGATTGAGCGCGAAAGGTCATGTGACATATTATCTAATCATGGCCAATCCCGCCCGCGTCATCGTTCGGGGCCTAGCTTGGCTGTGGTATACTGCCCACCATTCCCCCTCCCCCTTTCCGGTTGGTAACCATCGTACTTTACCTCAATTCTACTCTCTCATTCACACGGCAGTAGAGAGCTCCTCCTGTCGTCTACTCGCCATGGCCGCTCCCGAAGCTCACCACCTCTTCCATAACCCAATTGCCGATCATTCTTTCTCTCCGGATAAGGCGACCCTTGCAGTTGCGCGGGAAAGCAATGTGGAGCTTTATCAGAAGTCCGGCAACAAGTTCTCGTTGACCGATGAACTCAAGGGCCATGAGAAGACGGTGACTGGAGTGGATATCGCTCCCAACAGTGGACGTATTGTTACCTGTTCTCAGGGTAAGTTATCCTCATCCCCTTGTCCTGCAATAGTCCCGTCTAAGTGACCACGGGAACAGACCGCAACGCCTACGTCTGGGAACGGACCCCCACGGGTTGGAAGCCAACGCTGGTTCTCCTTCGGATAAACAGGGCTGCTACATTTGTACGGTGGTCACCTTCTGAACAGAAGTTCGCTGTTGGATCTGGTGCTCGCGTGATCGCGGTGTGCTATTTTGAAGAGGAGAATGACTGGTGGATCTCGAAGCACTTGAAGAAGCCCATCCGCAGCACTATTACCACCCTTGCTTGGCATCCAAACTCCGTTCTCCTGGCTGCGGGGTCGACTGACTCTCATGCCCGGGTGCTTTCCAGCTTCATCAAGGGTGTCGACACCCGCCCGGAGCCCAGCGCCTGGGGTGAACGGCTCCCCTTTAACACAATTTGTGGTGAATTCCTGAATGACTCGGCTGGTTGGATTCAAGGTGTATCCTTCTCTCCTAGTGGAGATGCACTTGCCTTTACTGGCCATGATAGCAGTGTCACCGTCGTATACCCTAGTGCGCCGGAACAGCCGCCTCGGGCGATGTTGACCATCGCTACTCGTCTTCTGCCTTTCAACAGTCTGATTTGGAACGGCGAGAACGAGATCATCGCCGCAGGCCACGTATGTCTCCTAAAAATTCAACATCAGCAGATGATCCATTACAAAATATATCGCTAACAGACATTAACAGGATTGCGAACCGTACCGCCTTCGCGGTGACGAGAACGGATGGCAACTTGCTGGGACCATTGAAAGCAAGGCAGGGCCGGGTGCTGGGAGCGCTCGCGAGGAGTCTGCTCTTAATATGTTCCGCCAAATGGACCTCAAGGGACAAACCCAAGCCGACACCCAACTTAAGACTACGCATCAGAATACTATTAGCACCGTTAGGGTCTACGAGGAGGCCGACGGCGTCGTCCGCAAGTTCAGCAGTAAGAGATACTCCCCTGATAAGTTATTCTGTGGTTGCGCTAACTTTTGAATAACAGCGAGCGGAGTCGATGGCCGCGTTGTTATCTGGACCATCTAGACAACTATTTGTTGTGCTAGATGTGCTAGATTTAGCTCAAAGGCTCCAGCATATTGAATGCATTGGATCCTTTACTGCGTCACAAGAATATGGAGCTTGGAAAATAGCTTCAGGTAAATAGAATCTGACCATTCCATGTACACACCATAAATAACAAGGGCACTTGAAGTGCTTCGTATCTGATGGCCCTTCATAAAGTAACAATTCAACTGCTAGTTACCCTACAAGCCGTAGTGACTAATTTGTGACGGCGTAATATGTAGGTATGATCGTCCCGTAACTTTACGCAAGGATACGTACATCGTGACCGACTCCGCATCACGGGGTCAAGTCAGGGTTCCCCAGATTCTCGACGTCACGGGTTTACCAAATCTCTCTTCACTCAACCACGACTTTTTCAGCTGCTGCACCGCAGCAGATACTACCAAAGACGATGAAGAAACACTCAGCGCTATGATAGCTCTTAATGTGTTGTTCAATTCCTACTCCTTAATCCTCACCTACTTCTCCTTTTTCTTGCCGATTCGCGCATTCATTCGCCTAGAAACGGACCACATACCTTCAGGTCAGGATTTACGCCCCATTCCCGAGGAGACCTACAACTCTCTGGATGAGCTAGCGCGTGTGGTCGATGTCGCCTACTGCGTTGGCAGCACTGGGCTTCAGAAGCCTTTTCAGTGCCTGAGCCACTGCAGTGACCTCAAGGGGTTTGAGTTAATAACCGTAGGTTGTCCTGCCGTGAGCAGGAGATTTTGAATGATTAACCTTTAGCTAGACATGGAATACTGGGCCGTTTCTTTCGGACTCTTGTGGATACATAGCGGTTTCGCACTCGCCGTCACCTAACCGTATCATTGTCGCTTTCCGTGGCACCTACTCCATTACCAACACGATCGTTGATTTATCTGCCTACCCGCAAGCCTATGTGCCGTATAACACCGGACATAAAGATGGAAAGAATGAATCAAGCTGTTGCAATTGCACTGTCCACGCCGGATTCTTCACTTCGTGGCAGAACACTCGCTCGACGATCCTCGACCACGTTGCAGCCGCAAGGGAGCAATACCCCAACTATGAACTGGTTCTAGTTGGCCACTCGCTTGGTGGGGCAGTTGCTGCGCTGGCTGGTATCGAGATGCAGCTGCGAGGCTGGGAACCTACGGTGACGACATTCGGAGAACCGAAGGTCGGAAACAAGGCCTTTGCCGAGTTCCTGGGTAAGATATTCCGGTTGGACGAGGACTCCGCATGGCGGTTTCGCAGGGTCACGCATGTTTATGACCCTGTGCCTCTCCTACCACTGGAAGAATGGGGGTATGCGATGCACGCGGGAGAAATCTTCATCTCCAAGGAAGATCTTCCCCCATCTGTGGATGACGTTCACTTCTGCGAGGGCCCTCACGATGCACGATGCATATCAGGGGAGGGAGGTGAAATGGCCTTGGCGGTCGCTCTTCATGAATCGGCGTCTCTGGCTGCAGATGCGAAGTCGCGGGCTGGCTGGGCTGACGCTGAATCTACCGAGCAGCACGATATGCCAGACGGGCATACTTCTCAAGCACCCTTGCACGTGCAGGAAAGTGCCATGAAACACCGAGGCTTATTTGATTTGCCTAGACGACTTATCCGGTCTAGATACCACCTGTGGGAGCTCTTATTCTCCCATCGGGACTACTTTTGGCGGGTTGGGCTCTGCGTTCCTGGTCGTGACCGGGCAGGCAAGGGGTGGTGGGCGTCGGATTCGTAGTCCCGATGTTCTTCTTGACGACGAAGAGACGACTCAAATCATACATGGCTGTAGGAACGAGTGCACGTATAAAATGGTGGACTTGATTAATATTCCTAATCTCAGGCGAGTCACGTATGCAGCAATACAGCTAGCTAAATTCTATGAAATTATAAACCCCCTGAGACCAATCCTCTCAAATATCGCACTCGATGGGCTGAGCTGAGCAATATAAGCACAAGCACATGATCCACAACACAAGCAAGGGTCACGAGTAAAACCGAACCCGATCTGCAAGCCACCTCCAATCCCCACAGAATAACTCAAAACCAATCTCATCACCAGACAGCGGGGGACACCCCAATGAACTGAAACCGCCGCATAGTGAAAACGCCCAAAAAGATGGTTCTGAAACCGCATGACAACTGAATTTCACCCTTCCATTCATGCATAATATGGCTTCCCTGCGTCGAACTTCAGTCATATCTTGCTTATTGCATATCGATGTATCTATGTACTCATATCACATTAAGTCGCTCATTAAGTAGCACTTATGATTTGTGATGTCATGCGGGCCCTTTCGATGAATATACAAATGTATATTAGTGAAAATATTAATGTATGTATGCATGTGTGTGTGTGTGTGTGTGTGTGTGTGTGTGTGTGTGTGTGTGTGTGTGTGTGTGTGTGTGTGTGTGTGTGTGTGTGTGTGTGTGTGCGTGTATGTGTGACCTCAGCTAAGCCTAATACTGGGTTCAATATGACACTAAGTACTACTAGTAGTTGATGCAACATCCCCTCTCAGAAGGCGAGTTCATACTATAGAATGACTATCGGC